AAGTGCCTAGCACTAGACAGTGATGTCTATGTTCATGATCACTGGCCAGCACATACGGTGCCTTGTGTTGCTGTTGAACATCCATTGATAAAAATCCTACATAATAAAAGCCTAATATGCTAAGTGTCCACTCCACTCGTCCAATCGTCCATTCAACCAATCAAAGTATAATATTGATTGCTAAGGCCGCTCAACCACTCGCCATTAAGAGCACTGACCACTGGAGGCAGGCGCTCTGACTGGTAGGTGAGCTTACTGCAGGCCAAACATGCCCTGGAGTCTTCCTGCATTCCTCACCAGATTCGATTGTGCACCAGTGGGTCCCTCAGGCTAGCCTGCACCCTCTCGCAATCCGGGAAACCCTTGGGTGATGTTAAAGAGCCAGTTTCGGCCCAATCCCAAAGGCCAGGCCTAGGGACCCCACTGGTGCACAAATTTGTGCATCTGGCCTCTAGTTCCATTCATAAATTAAGATAACCTCACATGGAACCTATTTTGTATTCTCCTCCTCTAGACTAATTTCCTAAAATACATTTTTCAGCAATTGTTTCATTTGATTTAAAACTGGATTCTGAGGAAAGTGTAACTCTATCTAAAAAGACTTTTGGTAAAATGGAAATAAAATGTTTAGTTATAAGTATATATAGACTCTAAAATATTCTAGTAAGAAATTATCCTTAATATTAATACTTTACAAAATGTTTTCTCATATATGATCCCTTCAAGGGGTTTTCATATATATTATTTAATAAAACAATCCATTTTATCTAAGAAACTGAGACATAGAAGATTCAAGTTCACATTTTCATTATAATAAGCAATAAAAAACTGTTATAGTAGTAATAAAATGTGTACATATTCTGCCAGATTTAACTTTCTAAACTACCTGAAGTGGGTGTACATCTCAGTAACAAATAGAGCTCAGTGATTGAAATGAAAAATACTACCAAAATAAAACACACACACACATAAGGAAACAACACCAAAGCAACTTTTAGAACAAGTACACCAGATACACCAAATGAAAATGTTAGAAAATGTCAGAAGATCTTTTTCTCTCGACATGGTTGTCTTGTGCTTTGTACAGCGGAGATAATATGATGCCAGCCTCCAACCTTGTTGCAGGCAGAGATGAAAACACAAGTGCGAGGTCTCCTGGGGAAGAAAAGTCGGTCACACATCGGCTGGTAGAAAAGCTTTCTGCCCCCCAGGAGTGTTTTTTCTTGAAGTCTATTTTCTCTAATGTCAGTATAACTACCAGCTTTCTCTTGGTTCGTATTTTCCAAGAGAAAGTGTCCCTGTTTCCATCTTTTTTTTTTTTTTCCAGCTTGTCCTTGTCCTTATGTAGGTTTTAGTTTTGCATGTGATAAGCAACATGCAGCTTTATGTTATTGCCTAGACCCAAAATCCCCCCCTTTTTTTTACCTGATGAGTGTCATACACTGCAGTGTGTTATAATTACTGCTACAAACTCATTTTGCTTTTTTTTTTTTATTCATCATGTGTCTCATTTGTTTCTATTCTTTTTTCTCCTTCCTGCCTTCTCTTGAACCAACAGAATTTATTTATTCTCCTATAGTCCCTCTAGCAACTTGGAAATTTAAATTCTATTTTCTTTTGGTGATTAACTTAAAGCATGTAACTGTGCACATGACCCACAGACTCTATTTCTATGTCCATTTTCTGGTTGAAGAATACAGGGACTAAGCTCTAAATCTCTAAATTTAATCCATCCTCTCCATCTTTTGTCTTCTTGAAATTAAAAACTCAATTGAAGCATAACTAATGGACACAGACTGCAGAAGGGTAAAGGCATGTGCTGGGGGGGGGGGGTGGAGGGGGGCCTAGAAGTGGCCAGGCAGAGGTCCATGGGGGGGAAAGAGACATATATAATACTGTAAACAATAAAGAAATAAATTTTTAAAAATCCTCAATAATTATACTAAAGGTGTGATAAGAGCTGAAAAAATAATCTATAAAATAACACAGAAAGACAAAGAGTGCTGTTTAAATTTTTCTGAAGTTAAACTGGTTTTATTATTCGTTATTTATTCCTGTTGTTTACCGATTTCTCACCATTCTCCATGAATATCATTCCTTTCTCAGGACTCGGTGTCCCTATTCTCAAAGGAATATTCCTTTTGTTATCCTTTCAGAGAGTGACTGTGCATGAAATATCCACTCACCTTTTGTATTGGAGAATCATCTGGTTTTGATAGTTTTTATGACATTTTGAAAACATGAGTCTGTATTTTCCTGGGCGATAATATGCTTAGGAGAAAGCTACAGTCGAGTGCCTGTTCCTTGGTAGAAAATATGTCTTTTCTTCCTGGTTGTTTTTATAGAATTTATTATTTTCTGTCATGGGCAATAGATTTCTTTTCTTGAAGTGTAGGTATACTTTTATTTTTCCTGTTTGCAACTCAGTGGGTCACCTTGCCCACAGAGCTCACGTTCTGTCCAGTCCCACAGAATGTTTGCCCATATCTCCTTGTATTTTGCCTCTTTCCCAGTCTTTCTGTTCTGTATTTCTCAAACATTCATTACAATTATGTTGAAACTTTTTATTATAGCTTCTGTGCAACAGTGTCTTTTTTATATTTTCGTCTCTTCATTTTTCTGTGTGGTTTTATGTATAATTCCTCACAGCCATCTTATCCTCTTTAGAATAACTCTCTTGGCTTTATAATGTCAGTATCCCTGTTTTAGTCTCCAGAGAGTTTATAGGCTCATTTTTTAAAAAAAATCTGTTATTTTCTCTTAACTGCTCATTTATTAAAGACTATAACTCATCTTTATTCCTTCAATCTTATAGGCTATTTCAGATTGATATAATATCTATAGATCTTCTTGTGCTAATTCTACTAGTATAATCTGGTATGTCTGTTGAGTATTCCTTGTCAGGTCCATTGTCTTAGCTAGTTTTTAAATTTTTTTTATTATTATGAGTTCATGTTCAGTGGGAATGGCTTCTCCACAACTGGGATGTGCCTGCCCTACACGCAGTAATGTAAAGTATCTATACTAATAAAAGGGTAATATGCTAATTAGAGTGGGAGGCCTTCTGGGAGACCTTCTGAACATCCTTCCAGACAAAGCCATGATGGCAGGGCCGAAGCAGAGGCAGTTAGTGGTGATCAGGCTGGCAGAGGAGGGCAGTTGGAGACAAGCAGGCCAGTGGAGGGGGGACAGTTGTGGGATCGGGCCTAAACCAGCAATCAGATATCCCCCAAGGGGTCCCAGGTTAGAGAGGGTGCAGGCCAGGATGAGGGACAACCCTTGCCCATGCACAAATTTCATGCACCAGGCCACTTATTTTTAATAAAATAAAATTTATTATTTAAAATGAATAAATTCAATTGGTTCAACTATATAGTCTATATAATAGAAGGCTAATATGCAAATCAACTGAATAGTGGAACAACCGATTGCTATAACACACACTGACCATGATGAGGCAGACGCTCAGTGTAAGAGCTGCCCCCTGGTAGTCAGTGCGCTCCCAAAGGATAAGCACCAAGCACTACTCAGCCAGAAGCTGGGTTCATAGCTGGCAAACCACTCGGGGGTCCCAGACTGCAAGAGGACACAGGCCAGGCTGAGGGACACCCCACGTGTCCCCTGCCTCTGTACACAAATGTGCACCAGGCCTCTAGTCACTTATAAACAGTGTTCTTTCTTCTGCCACAGCCCTAAAGACTTCTGTGTTTTTTTTAACTGACTAACAACCCCTCAACTTGAAATTCTCATTATGAAGTAGATCACAAAATTTCAAACCCAACACCTCCATTTAGAGTTTAAACTTATCATTAAAGTTTATTAGTGCTTCCCTCAACCAATTCATGGAATTCTTCTAGACTTGCTTACATGGGAGGAACAGCCTTTTGAGGCTTCTGGTCTGATTCAGGGGTCCTGGTTCCAGTTGCCCACCATTTGCAGACCTAACACAACATCTTCCCCGTGTTCAGTTCCAGGACAGTTTCTCCATTCCTGAACTGCTTCTTTGTTTCTTGCCCTTAGGGACTTCCTTTAGGGTTCATCATGCATGGGTGAGGTCCAACCAGTCTGGCCAAAGGGAGGGGACATGGGCGGTTGGCCGGCCTGCCTGCTGGTTGAACTGGTTGAGGGAACAATTTACATATTAGCCTTTTATTATATAGGATATATAATAAATAATATATGTGCATATATGTATACTATACACACACACACAAACACACACACACTGAGTGGCCAGATTATGATCCCATGTCCCCTCCCCCTGGCCAGGCTGGCCGGATGAATTCATGCACCAGGCCTCTAATACACACACACACACACACACACACACATACACACACACACGTGTGTGTGTGTGTGTGTGTGTGTGTGTGTGTATGCGTTCAGAGATCATAATAATCTGGCCACTCAGTGTATGTATAGAAGGAGAGGAAGAGAGAGAGAGGGAGAGGGAAAGAGTAAGGCAGAAAGAAGATGTGAAAGATAGAGAAATAAAAGTGCTGTTTATTATAGCTGTCAAGGAATATTCTCTGAGTTTTATGGAGGTCACGCCAGTTTTACCATTGTATTCACTTAGTTGTATTCCTATGATTAGCTACATGTTGGTCTGTTTTCTACATCAATTGGCTGAATTTATGACAACTGCTTCATCATAGCTGTGATCTAAGACCCAACACATCCCACAGAATGGTTTAATTAACTGACATATTTGTTTCTTCAGCAGATTTTTTAAAATATAATTTTAGGTCTATTTTAAAGGTCAGATAGTCGCAACTTACATTTATTATAAAAATTTAATCTGTTCTTACTTTGTAACCGTGATGCCAACATAATGTAACAAGGTGTGTGATCTGGTCTGAGCCCCCAGCAGAGGACAGAGCCTACTTCTTTACTCTTGGAAGAATATTGGGGTATCTTATGGTTTTAAATATCATTAACAAACTTGAGATAACAGATACAATAACCATGCTTTTTCTTTAATTTTTTCTCCCTCTTCCTAGCAATGCAGCAAAAAGGCATCTGCCTCTCTCCTATGGCTTTTGAAGTCATCGGGCATCATCGCGAACCGCCCCTGGCCGAGGATCTCCCTCACGATCATCACCACAGCCATCATTTTAACCATGGCCGTGTTCAACATGGTGAGTCACAGAAGGCTCCTACTGGGCAGGGCCCACTAGCTAGAGGTCTCGCTGATTCTGACAAAGTCACGGTGTTCACTCTACAAAGGATGATTGCTGCAATCCCCTTATCATTTAGCATTCTTATCCCCCAAGAGGGTGCTCACTCACCTGGGCAGGCTCAGAGCCAATAAAACACACTTCCTGAGATTTGACCTCTGTTGGCTGCACATATGAGAATAAGACATTTAACACGCCATCACACACCTAGAAAAGTGCCTTCCGTGTAAGAGGTGGCTACTTAATAGTTACTGAATGAAAGAATGAGTGAATGAGCACACAACCCTTCTAGAAACCAACGATTTATTTTGGTAAAATCCAGTGTGACCTTATAAAATCAGGATGTATCACCTAATTTTCTGATGACAAGAATCTACATGGGAAATAAATCCGTTTTAGAAACTAACTGTATTTCACAAAGGATAATTAGTAATGAGTGATAGGCAGTTCGGTCACTGTCTAAATGTTTGATGAGCTGAGCATTTGGGAGATTGGTTTCACAGTAACTGTAATCCCTTTGGAGAGAAAAGATACATCTTCAGGACCAGAAATATGTCTTCCAGGGCCATTTTTTCCTCACAAGGAAAGGAATTTACTAGTATTGCCAAGTGAGATAGAGAAGTCTGTAGAAGACATGCTAACACTATGATGGATGATGCGTGAGCGAGGAAGGTAATAAGGTTTTGGTCCATGTCCTGAGCTCCCTTCTATGGCAGCCCAGGCTGTGGGGCGAGGAATAAACAAGAGTACTTCTTCTCTGCCCAGTGGAGAGAGAGAAGATGTCAAGACCACTCAACCAGGTGCTGTCCCCATCAATGCAGAAGAAACAGCATTTTCCTTGATACCCGGGGCGCTGAAATGAGTGGTGGTTCTCCATCTGAGCTCCTCATATGTGTATTTTAAAGAATCATCATAAAATACTATGAACGCAGGCATATGGTACAGAAAGGAACTAATTTTTTCTTACTGGAGCTTACTGATCACAGAAGGGGAAGAATTTGTTCATGCGAGTGCTGCTTTCATCACAGCTGCAGATTTATAGAGAATGTTGTCCAGCTACATGGGTCCACACCTTCTTAAATTATGACTACATGAGGCAGACACAGGGTCCTGTGTCCCCAACCACATTTGTAAGGTGATGTGACTATGGGCTATGAGCCTCACCCAGTGGTGCTGACACACATACAGACACTGGCCAGTCAGAACTGAGCATCAGTGAGGTGACATGCAAAGGAAATGAGCTCCAAGGTCACTCACTCATATCAGGGGACATGGCACCTACATTTTAACAGCACTTAGGAGGTCAATAGGAATGGTGTCTCAGAGATGCTGGCTTTTAAAATCTCAACACGCAGTGACATAAATGACAAAACACCCAGGTCCGTTGTATTGAAAATGAATTGTGAGGTATTAACAGGACATTTTAAACACTTGAAGCTCACCTATGTAACACCCCAATAAAAAGTGGAAGAAATAGTTATCCAGATTTTTATCAAATACAGAGTTTCTTCAAACTGCCAGTGACCTGCGTGTTTTGTTCCATTTTAGTTCCAGCTGGCTTAACCTGTATGAGACGCTCAAATTCTCTGCCATTTTTTTTCTGACATTTTGACAGTGTCATCCTGTGGCTTCCCACGTCATTTTGCAATCTCTTCTGAGAAATTTCCCAGAGAATGCAATCAATAACAGCTTTATGAACCGCCTAGCCCAAGATTAGCCTTAGTCAACTGGTAGTCTAGCCAGACTTTTAATTCCAACCAAATGACAAGCAAAGCACAATGATGTCATCAGGCATAAAACAATATCACATTGCATGTTCATAATTTAATATTGCTTGGAAAACATAATTCTGAGACGTTTTAAATTTTCTGAAAATTGTAAAATTTGGAAGTGAAGGTAAAAATATGTAGTGTTCATATACCCTTTTTAAGGACATCTTGTCCAGGATGAAGATATTATTTTCCCAATGATGACAAAGTTTGATGAATGTTAAAATTGGTCTAGAGAGGAGTTCCTCAAATAATTATGATTATTAGAAATTCATTCTGTAGAGAAAGTTGTGGCAGTTTAACCTGGAAGGGAGAGAAACGGGATTAATAACAATTGAGGATTTGCCTGGCTCTATAGAGGATGACATAAGTTTGTTATTTTAAAGTGACTAAGAAGATAGACTGGGGAAATTGACTCACAATTGTAGTGTGATGTCATGTAAACATTTCTCTCTTTTCTGCATCCAGCACAGTTAGAGAACAGTCCTGAGTAGGGGTGGCTAGAGATTGGGAAAATGAAAGAAAGAGATGGATACAGAGATAGAAGGAAAAAGCTGGGACTGGGTAGGACAGCTGTCCTCGATGGAGAGACAGTGACCCAGAGCCCATACAGTGCATTTATTTTATACAGCAAAATACCAGGAAGTTTTACTAAAGCCCAAGACCAAGGAGATTATGTACATTCTTGTGGCTTCTTTGCAATAGTCACTTCTGGGTGGGCCTGGATTATCCATGCTTGTTCCTGGTGTTTGGCTGGATTTAGATAATGAAACCCACCCCCTGGCATCTGACCTGAAGGTCAGGCTGACAACACACCTGCCTCTGGCAAGATATGTTTCCAGGGCCTGGCTCTACTGGATTCAAACAACAATCAGCTCAGGGGCCTTTCCCAGGCACTCTCCACAATGTCATATAGACACAATGAAGAGTTTCTTGATTTGGGGGTAGTTAATAAATACTAGAGAGAGTTTGTGCAAAAGGGGCTTAATGGAACATTGTTAGGTATAGTGATTGAAGTTCTCTATTGAACTTCTCTATTGGTTTTCAAATTTATTTTTAATATTTTTTTTTCCTTGATTTCAGAGAGGAAGGGAAAAGGAAAGAGAGATAGAAATATCAATGATGAGAGAGAATCATTGATTGGCTGCCTCCTGCATGCCCCCTACTGGGGATTGAGCCTACAACCCAGGTATGTTCCCTTGGCCAGAAGTCTACAGGCTGATGCTTTATCTACTGAGCCAAGCCAGCTAAAGCTGGTTTTCAAATTTAAACCATCATGTTTTTTGTAGAGCCTCCTTACAAGACTAAGTTTTCACAGGATGTACTTCTACCCATTGTACAGCAAGAATTTATTTTCTTCTCTATAGAGTGATATAGCAAGGAGTTTTTGTTAATAATTTTAAGATCCCAGGTGCTTGAGACTAGTAACCTACAAGCTAAACTATCTCCTTCTATTTTTTTATTTTCTCATTCTTTGGTATTTATATGCATTTTATTTGGGATCTGTAAAATATAAATTTGTAACATTTTGGAGCCCAATTTTTACCTTTGCTGTTCAAACATTTTTTCTGATATAAGATTTCCCATAGAATTAGCACATTTATAGTTCAACCATGTGTTGTGACATTTTTGACAAATTCTTTAGTAGCAAATAAAGAAATCTCCAATATTTGAATTTTCAAATCAGCATTTTTATTTTACCAAATGACATAATGGGTAGAAACACTGTATCTAGTATCATTTTCTCAGACTTACCTTTAAAAAAAAAAATAGGATTCTTTTTCCAACAGTGCTAAGGCTATGCATCCTTTGAATTTTAATCACCTTTTACCATGTGCTGCCAAGCATTCACCAGTAATAAATAAGATGTTGATACCAGTTATTGCATTTTGCTCATAAAATTAACTTTTTTTCTTAAATCAAAAACTGATAAACTCCATTGATTCATTTAATGTTTGAAGCAAGATTGTGAAGAGGATGCAAACACATTCCAAAGGCTTGTGTTTCAGGACAGGGCGTTGGGTGTCTGTATGCGTGATGATGTCAACGTCAAATGTAATTCTAACCAAGTCATTTTTAATATAACATTTAACCGAGGTGCTTGTGTGTTCTTTAACATCAATCCTGCAGTTCTATAATTCACTATTAAGTACATTGCACAACAATAAATAGTCACTTATTTACTCAGTAGAAATTCTCACAGTTTGAAAAGTGGATGGAGCTACTGGCATCTGAAGCATATCAGGGGACTTGGTTGCCCACATAGTGCTGCTGACTGCAGATGACACACAGGCACCAATAAACAGCACCACCTACTAATCCTTCCATCTCCTTTGCATTAATTCATTGAAAAACAAACATTTTCTTTGCAGTTTTTCCTGAGTGACTCAGAGGAAACAATCCCTCCAACTACCAATACATCAAACACAAGTCTTTCTGCCTTAAATGATCAGGCAGCAATTCTGCGTGCGCAAAGCTTGTTTTTTCTTCCGGTAAGAGCATTTTCCTCGTTATTATGGCTTTTCTCGTTTTCCACCTATGTGATGATATGCCCTCCACTTTCTCACCAGTCTTGGACTTCACTTTTCTTCTTTGTTGTCAGTACCTGAGTAGGTTCTGACCGCTTAAGAACTACCAACCTATCTTTCTTTCTTTTTTCTTTTCTTTTTTTTAAATAAAGTTTTATTGACTTCAGAGAGGAATAGAGAGGACATGTTCCAACAGCATGTCCTCAGGAAGAGGTTTATGAGAGCGAACCATTGATCAGCTACCTCCTGCATGCCCCATACTAGGGATTGAGCCCACAATTCTGGCATGTGCCCTTGACCAGAATCAAACTCGGGACCCTTCAATCCACAAGCTGACACTCTATCCACTGAGCCAAACTATCTAGGGCCCACCAGCCTTTCTTAAGAGAAGTCCTGGCTGGCTGGCACTGCCAGGCACAAATGCAAAGTCACAATGTCATTCTGATGCTCTCACAGGTGACTCTTGCCTTTATTCTCTAAACTGGTGCATTTTATGGCATGGATCCCAGCATCTGGCATTCAATTAAACGTCACTGAATTTCTGGGTTCCTTGCTCATAGATTTAATGAATTGTTCCAGTGAAGTCGTGTTGGCTCCCTGATGCTGTGATCACAGGACCACATCTCCTCTCTCTGCCTCTCCTTGTGCTGCAAATACCGTCCAATGATTATATCCTCAGATAATCCTTACAAACTGACTCATTTGAACCAATGTCCAAAAAAGCTTAGATTGGAATTTTAAAACTGATTAACACATCACTGTTTTAAGTAAAAAGAGATAAATCAGTTATTTACTGCTTAATAAGTCTTACCCATGAATTGTTTGTGCAAAAATAACGATTTTTTATAATCTCCTTTTCATTTTATGACTAGTCATCTTAAAGTAGTATAAATTATTAACATTTACTTTCTGTGTTGACAGTGCTGAAAGAACTAGTTTGGAGGCTGAAATTGGTCATTTAATATGTGTACTTTTAAAATGCCCTGCCAAATTTTAAAACTCCACTGGCAATGGCAATAAAGGTGATTTCCTTGCCTCATTCTCCTTTTGCTGATTTGTTCTGTTGACATTTGGCTGGGATACCTTTTGACATTTCAGTTTCTGGGAAGCTCACTGCTCTGCGTACAGAAAGTGGGGAGGAGCGTCAGGGCTGTTTCTGAGGCAAGGTGACCAGGGTTCCTAGGAATGTCGCTGTGGGCTCGGGAAGAGAGGATAACATAAGCTTTGTCCCTTATCCAAAGGGTCCTAGCCTTCATTTTAGGCATTAAACACCATCTTCTCTATACTATTAATAGTTATGTGACTGGTGAGAGATGGGTCTCATGATGATTTATTGGCTGTGACCTAACTGTACATCCTTGAATGGATGGCATTAGCACACATGGTCCATAGGACAATGGAGGGAGGACAACCGTCCTCATGTGACATTCACAAGGCACTCTAAGTTTTACATTTTAAAGTTGCATTTTCATAGGAAAGAAAAGAATAGCAGGCAAAGCACTTTTTTAAGTTTCTCCATCCAATATACTTGGGTAGAATGACTCACCATGCTTGGCACCACTAACAGCAATTGGGTGATCATTCTGAATTTCATTTAGGTACATTGTATAATATATTATTTTCAAAAGAAGAAAATTATTAGAAACCCAAGATGGGGAAAGGTAGTATTTTCTCAGCCTTAATATATAGATCCTGAAAAAATGCACAATAAGCTCTTTAAAATCTAGGCCCCATTTAGTCAAAGGCCACTGTTGTTCCAACAGCAGATCCTCAGGAAGAGGTTTATGCTGAGCTTCGCCCAGGAAGCCCCACGTGCTCACCAGCTGTCTGTATAGACACAGCTTTATCAACTCGCAAGTTTAGTGGTTCCCGGGGAACCGGAAAACACCCCATCTTCCCCCTTAACAGATTTTTAGAAATATTAGGAAAGCCATTTTGTAGAAGTACATAAAGGACACCTTGTTCCTCTCAAACTTCATCTTCCGTGATACTGAGTCTGACGAGATAGGGAGAGTCCCCTACATGCTGTGGGTGGTACAAAGTGATATAAACTCTTAGTGGTAATTTAATAGTTCTTGAAAAGCACAATACAGATGTACTTTTTATTCTGCAATACTAATTCTGCAAATTAATTTTACTGATGCACAGACTTAGCTACAAAGCATTCATTCAATTGTGTATGTAACATCAACAATAAGCAAAGTAAAAGAGCCCTCGCTGGTATGGCTCAGTGGATAGAGCATTGCCCTATAGACTGAAGAATCCTGGGTTCAGTTGTGGTCAGGGCACATGTCTGGATTGCGGGTTCAATTCCCAGTAGGAGGAATGCAGGAGGCAGCCAATCAATGATTCTCTCTCATCACTGATGTTTTTATTTCTCCCTTTTTCTCCCTTCCTCTCTGAAATCAATAAAAATATATTTTTTAAAAAGAAAGAAACCTGAAAGATAAAATAAGTGTATTTGAATAAATCATTATTTAGTTATATCAGGCCATTACAAAAAGATGTGGGAAAATATTTAATGACACAGAAATATATATTTATGATGCTATTTAAAAGTATCATTTAAAAACAACCAAAACAGAGGAGATCCAAGATGGCTGCTCGGGTAGACATCTAACCGCGGCAGCACACAACAATTTCAATGGAATACAACTAAAATGTAGAGTGGACATTGCCCAGAGCTACAGGTAGTCGACTGACTGAAAATTCTACAAGAAGGAAAGAGAAAACCAGAAGGAAAATCAGAGGAGCTGGAAAAAAGCCTAAGGTACAGAGACATGCTGCGCGCCCGCATGCACGCGCACGGAGAGGTCACAGCCAGAGAGGAGGAGAGGGCTGGATGCTGCCTGGCGTTCCCTAGCAGGAAGGAAATAAAACCCCCAGCCTGGGCTGAACCCCCCAACCGGCAGCGCTGAGCCCCAGTTATGGGCCAGACCTTGGGGACCCAGGCTCCGGTGGGAGGAGACGGGGCTGTGAGGCGGAAAAACAGCGAAAAGCAGGGCCCCGGTAGTCGCGCACAATGCGCGCGCAGAGGACTGAATGTTGACTCTGATGCTGGGTTACCCTAGCCAGAAGAAACAAGGCCTCCGGCGGCGCTGAGCCTCAGTCCGGACTGCTCCGAACCCCAGTTCTGGGCTAATCCCTGGGGACCCAGGCTCAGGCAGAGGGAGACGGGGCTGTGAGGTGGAGTCTGGGGAGAGCGGCGAAAGGCCGGGCCCCCCAGGACTCGCGCAAACTGCGCGCAGAGGACAATCTGTTGACTCTGATGCTGGACTTCCCTAGCGGGAAGGAGAAAAAAAAAGCTCTAGGCTGGGGGAACGTGGAGGGGAGCGGAAGCCCCTGCCGGACTCCAGCCAACCGGGCACCAGCAAGGAGGCGGGCCACGGGGCCCCTGGGGGCGTGGGTGCCCCTGAGCCTTTGACCACTGAGCTCGGGCAATGGAGCCAAGGCCGGGGGCTGCTTCCTGGGCGGCGCCATCCAGCAACAGGCTGAAGCAACGCAGGAGCCCGCGGAGAACAAAGGGGTGCCACAGGCCAACCTCCTGAGCTCCCAGGACAAGGAGGAAGAAACCAAAGAAGTTCTCAATGTGAAGAAATCAAGTGAGAGCAAAAAATAGTAAAATTACTTAAGAAAGAATACAAAGAAGATCTTGAAAAATCAAAGACTAAGTCAGAACTCAACTCATCAGTCAACATTGCAACATAAATGCGTTTTAAAAAGAAAAAAGGAAAAAAAAAGGACAGAATGTTGGAACAGCGGCGGCCAGGCCTAGAGTGGCCAGGCACAAGGCAGTGGCAGCCAGGCCTGGAGCAGCAACGGCCAGGCCCCAGAGCAGCAGCAGCCAGAACCAGAGCATCAACAGCCAGCACTGGAGCAGCCAGACCTGGGGCAGTGGCAGCCAGGCATGAGGCGGAGGCGGCCAAGCCCAGGGTGGCCAGTCCAGGAACACCCAGACCCGGAGTGGCCGGGCCCGGAGAAGCCGGGCCCAGAGCAGCCGGGGTGGGAGCAGCCAGACCCAGAACAGCAGTAGCCAAGCCCAGAGCATCCAGGTCGGGAGTGGCCAGGCTCGGAGCAGCCGGACCCAGAGCAGCCGGGCCCAGAGCAGCCAGGTCGGGTGTGGCCAGACCCGGAGCAGCGGCTGCCAGGCTGGGAGCGGCCAGGCCCGGGGGAGCAGGCGGGTCGGGTGCGGCCAGGCCCGGAGCAGCGGCTGCCAGGCTGGGAGCGGCCAGGCCCGGTTGAGCAGGCGGGTCGGGTGCAGCCAGGCCCGGAGCAGTGGCTGCCAGGCTGGGAGCGGCCAGGCCCGGGGGAGCAGCCGGGCTGGTGCAGCCAGGCCCGGAGCAGCGGCTGCCAGGCTGGGAGCGGCCAGGCCCGGGGGAGCAGGCGGGTCGGGTGCGGCCAGGCCCGGAGCAGCGGCTGCCAGGCTGGGAGCGGCCAGGTCCGGGGGAGCAGGCGGGTCGGGTGCGGCCAGGCCCGGAGCAGCGGCTGCCAGGCTGGGAGCGGCCAGGCCCGGGGGAGCAGGCGGGTCGGGTGCGGCCAGGCCCGGAGCAGCGGCTGCCAGGCTGGGAGCGGCCAGGTCCGGGGGAGCAGGCGGGTCGGGTGCGGCCAGGCCCGGAGCAGCGGCTGCCAGGCTGGGAGTGGCCAGGCCCGGAGCAGCAGCAGCCAAGTCCAGAGCAACTAGGTCGGGAGCGGCAGTGACCAGACCCGGAGCAGCTGGTTGTGGAATGAACCAGAGCAACAGAGGCCAGGCCCTGAGCAGCCAGGCCCGGAACAGCTCGCTCTTTGCCTGCCCCTGCCCCACGGCTGCTTCTCAGACATGGCTGGAAATTTTCGTGGGAACTTGAGGGTCTGCTGAATCAAGTGATGAAGGCTTAGATCTGGATGTGTTGAGTTAGTTTAGGGCTGGGGTGTTGATCTGTGTGTGCCTTGGGTGGGGCCTGGATGAGGCTGGTGGACCTATTGGGAAATGTCTTTTGTGTGAAGTGTATCATTGGGCAGGTGGAGGTATTATTGATTTGAGAAAATGCTAAGTAACTGATTTACTATCTGAAAAGGGATTTACTATTGGGGAAAGGGAGGGAAGAAGAGACTGAACATAAACTGCACCTATGGATGAGGACAATGGGGGATGGGGAGGGGGCAGAGGGTGGGGTGGGAACCTGGTGGAGGGGGGAAGAAATTAGGAACCTTTGTAATAATATGAACAATAAAGATTGATTTAAAAAAAAAAAAAACCCAACAGCCGGAAAAAAAAAAAATAAAAAAAAAAAAAAATAAAAAATAAAAAAAAAATAAAAACAACAAAACAGTATAATCCCAATTTTATAAAATAATTGTACCAATAATAAGTAGGGGGGAAAAAAAGGCTGGAAAGTTATAGACAAAATAATTATAGGCTCAAGTTGGATGTTGGGGATAATTGGAGACCCTTATTTTTATATATGTGCTTTGTATGTCTCCTAATTTTTAACATCAGTGTGTAATTGCTGTAGCAGGGGGAAAAAGCTAGTTTTAAAATACCCAACAAAATCAATTATAAAGGGTCTTTGCCATGTAGCCACTCTGTGCTTTACCAGGCATTTATAGCATTGTATTGGGAAAATATCCTATGAGGTAGATATTATTGGAATTTCCATTGTCTAGGTGAGGAAACAGGCCAAAGGAGTCTTAAGTAGGGGGCCAAGATGCCAGTGGCTGTTTCCTAGGTATTAAATGCAAGTTAATTTCATTGATTAACTATATTAAGAGTGCTAATAACCATATTTACTTAGTTAATGTAATACCAACTAATATTTTTATTTACTTTATGAAATAACCAAAAATATTTTTTTATTTTCTTTATGAAATAACCATAGACACAGACAACAGTGTGATGGTTACCAGAGGGAAAAGAGGTGTGTGTGTGGGGTGGGAGGTAGTAAAGGGAAAGGGGACAAATATTAATTAGTATTAATAAATTATATTATTCGGTAATTAAAATATTAGTAATCGCTAATTTAAATATTAATAAATAACAATACAACTATTAACTGTACCCAGACTCTATAAAAATAAAGTTACGAGGATAGACCCTAGCAGCAGTCAGCTCAGGAGCTGCAGACGGAACTCTTGGCCATCCGGCGCCTTCCTGGCCAGCTGCCTGGTGCAGCAGTGATGGCTGATCTTCGGGCCTCCCTCCTGGCCTCCCAGAGCCATTCCCCCTCATTCGCACACCCTTCTGTGGCTAGGTTCAGGGTCCCAACTTACCTTTCATTACCTCCCAGCATACCTTGTGCATGGCCTTCAAGAGTTCTAGAAAGGTGTTTTAATAGGAAATGGACCCAGAGCCTCATTCTCATTTACATATGTATTTTTGTAGCCATCTCTAAAATGTGAAAGTTTTTTAAAAGCCTGAGAATTTTAAAATATGAAACCATAGGCAAGTTTGCATAGGTATTTGCTGGGTCATATTTCAAATTAGGGGTGCTCCAGAAAACCTTTACAATCCTATCTACACCCCCCAAAAATACCCATGCACACATTGATACATGCGTTTATATAGTGGCTCCTTATTCAGCTTGTCATTCAATTAGGCTAAGCTGGGTGATTACTTTCATGCCAATAATGGTTTTCCACCTAATTTTAGCAGCTGAATCCTTTGGAAAACCAGACCTTACAGAGAGCCCCAGTTTATCATCCTAACAGCAGAATCAGTACAGAGAAGGAAACATGGGATGACCATGACCCCTGCAGCTCATTTTCAACTTTCCTTTCTTCCCCAAGAACAGGACTGATGAGCATGGAGTATCAGTAGCCTCCAGACAACTGGCTATGGATAACCTTGGCTGGGGAAATAAAAGCAAGAGCTAGAATGACAACAATAAGCAGACAATACATGGCTCTGTTCACATAATGAAACTGGGGTGGAGTTGCTTACTAAGTGGGCTGTTTTATACAGACAGGGTTTATCAGACATCAATCAGATCTGTGTGTTATTAACTTTTTTAGTGCTGTTCCTGTTATTAACTTTTTTAGTGCTATTCCTGTTCCAAGAATGCTAATATAATACCAAAACTCCCTGTTCGTAAAAAACATATTAGCAACAAAATTTAAAAAAGCTTTGTGAGAATGATAACTGTTTCCACGGCTCTGGGCTCCAAGCTTTACTTGTTCTTCTCAGTGACCTACAAGGAGGACACGATTACCTCCATTTCACAGATGATGACACTGTGACACAGGCAGGCAAGGTTACTACCTCACGTGAGTCAGCTGATGAGTGAGGCAGGATGGAATCCAGGGGTATCCTGACTCAGCGATGTCCGCTGTGCTCAGTGGTGAGAACAGTGCTAACGGGCTGGCCTGTGCTGCTTCCAGTGGACTAAACTAAACGAATGGCAGGTGCCCCCTCTCCCTCCCACTTGGTTCTTCCAATTTTTTCCAGTGCCTGTCCACTTCTGGGATATTCATGGCTCACCCTTGTCAAGGATTTGAGTTTTAAAAATCCTTTCTGTTCTAAATAGTCCTTCTGACAAATAATGTTTCTTTTAATAAAATCTCCACACTTTCTTATCCTTTTAACAGAACTACCAGTAACAACTTATATCCACTTAAAGAATTAAAAAATTGAAAGGCCAACAAAGAGTCTACATATTAAAATTTTTTAAAAGATCTATTGTTTTTTTTCATTTTTCAAGAAAATGATATTGGCTTATAATTATATGTCTTCAGTATGGATTTTTAAAGAATTATGTCTGTTTGGCAATATGCCTGATTTTTTTTTAATATGCTAAGCTGGGTCAGCAAGCCATGTGATGAGTAATCCTTTTACAAATCAAGTATGTGCAGGCATTGGCTGCTGTTTCAAAAAGGAGAAAAAGGCATTTGTTTTCCCATGAAGTTTGTGAGCTGACCAGTGAGCTTAGTGGTGGTCCCCAATCTTAATCCTTATTTCAGCATTTCTCAAAAGAGATCCCAAGTGTTGATTCAACACATTCTCCTGTCCCAGTACTTTATTTACAGCTGCATTCTGGGGCTGATATCCTGCTCAGTTTTTCTGCGGGTGAACTATGAGTTGAAGATGTTGATCATGCTGGCAGCGTTGGTGGGCTTCAACATCATCTTTCTCCACACTCACGCCCACGTCCTGGACGACTACAGCCAGGTCTTGTTTGAAAGGTAACCTGCTTCCTCCTTTTTCTCCTCACTTTAGTATGGGATCTCAATAATGTGAGTGTGTCGAGTAAATGCAAATTAACAATAACATTGTCATTGGAATCACATTGTGTGAGAGTTTCTTTGAAGCAATGGTTCAGAAGGGTGATGTGTGGCTATATTATACATTACACAGAATGTGTATGATCATAAAAGGAAGGTATGATGTGGTTTAGAGATGTTTTGTTATTATCTGTACGATATTACTATATTGATAAGAATAATCTAGGGTTCCTCACCCTCAGCATTATTGATATTTTTTCTGAATAATATCAGTAGTGTTCCATTGGGTGTAACTGAGTAATTTTCTGCTGAGGGTGCTGCCCTGTGCATTGTGGGATATTTAGTTGCATTCCTGGCCTCTACCCACAAGACACCAGACACAGTCCCCTCCCCCAAAGCAATGAAAACCAAAAATGCCTCCAGACATATGTACCCTGCAAGGCAAAATGCCGCCCCCCCCACATCCCCAGACCAGAACAACTGAATCAACACACATAAAAATACTGGGAACTAAGTAGATACATTTACAGTGCTGCATTTCTTATGGGAACATTCCTAAAATATCCTGGTATGGAGAGAGTACTCCTACAACTGTGTCAATTTTCTCTTCTATGAAGAAACTGACTTTCAAGAAAAGATATGACTGTTTACTTTCCCAGCCTTCGGACTGAATGCTGAGAGAATGGTTCTCTCACAGACACTCAGTCGGGTTTATACGAGCTTTCCTGTGACCAAATTGCTTCCATAAGCTTATAATGAATATTTATTCCCTGCTTGAAAAACAATGTTTTAATCATCATGATATCCTCCCTCTCATATTTTAACATCAAGACAATGTTTTATAGCAAGTGTTCGGTTTATTTCTGGGCCCACCAGACTTCACGTTTCTTCTAGGAGCAGTCTGCATAATCCTCCATAATATTTCTGTGTTCCTTTTCATATAAAGTAAATGCCTTAAGTATTTGCATGGGTTTGTTGCTCCAGGAAGATGGTATATGCCGACAGTGTGTGGCCATGTCCGTCTTTGGAGGCCCAGAGCCAGGGACACGGTCTGAACCTTCCATACTGATAAGAATGCTTTCGGAAACACAATGGCAAAGCATTCTCTTCCCCTAATTTAATTTTCGTCATCCTCCTCACCATGAAATCCAAATAATCTCTAATCAAGCTCAGGGTAGTGAAGTTGCAAAAAATGTATAATTGTGTTAAGGAAATTTTATGATTCCCTTAGCCAAGATGAGAATGAAATCAGAAGTTAATTTTCCAATAAATTCTCAAAAGTGCCCAGCAAACATGCTCCGATATTTCTGTACTGTCTCGAGAAAGCCTGTATGGAATCCCTAAGTAAGTGCGGCATTACTGATTTTTATGCGCAGCCAACGACGCTACTAAATTCCCTTGATTAAATTTAAAGCTCCTGAATGCGCGACACAGCCGAGGCCGAGGGAGAAATTAGATTAGCAAGTTTCTGATGGGAGAGATTTCCGCGTGGGTTTGAGAGAGGCACCACGGCAGCTGTGGAGCAGGGCTCAGGCTGAAGGAGAGGAGCTTTTACCCTCAGAGCCCATTGGTTTAATTCAAGCTCCTTTGTGTGTGTTCTCTTGGATCTGTCTTTCTCATAGCCTTAAAGCTAGAGAGGGCCCGCCTCCTCTCCTGGAGGGATGCACCTGTCTCCCTGTTCCTAACCTTGACTTCAAGGTTCTGCCACTTCCAGACCCGATTCCTGAAGGAGCTGCCACAGCACTCCCAGAGCATTCCTCTGCCAAAAGATAAATGTTGCTGACATAACATCAAATGTTCTCCAATGCCAGCTTAAAGTTAACCCCAGATGAGAAACTCCTAAGAGGGGAAGTTTATAATTCCCTCCTGGTCTCTCAGCCTCTGTCTGTGTTTGATACAACCCTCCATTTACTGCCAGAGCCCAAATCTACCCATTCCAATGTTTTCTTTCTCTGCTGAGATTCCAGAGATTTCTAATCAAAAGACAGACACAGTTTTCTCATCTTTTGGTTTGTTGATGCTGACACAACGCTTTCAGATAGGAAACTAGGACTAGGATCCTGACATGGATTGATGCCTTGAGAGTGGACATCCCCAAGGCCCAAGCCTCAGGGGTCCTTCAAGGAGGCAGCTGGCTTACAGAGTGCCAGGGGGCACTTCTTTAGTGACCGGTGGAGTGTGTGTCATTGAAGTCGCATGCTGGGTCCTTTCCCTCTTCTGACCTATTTCTGCCCCCCACACATGCTTTTCATTCCTGGTGTCCTGGTATTCTTTCTAGGACATGTGTTTGCCTGTGTGGCAGACAGTGTCCTTTCTGCCCACCTCAGCCTCTGGGCTGGCCCCTCATTGACATTGAATGTTCCCAGTAGGCCTACCGTGAGCTTTTGACTTTCACCCCTGGATGTACCTGAGGACTGAGCCACACTCCCAGCCTGGGAGGGTAGAGAGTATTTCCTGTGGACAAATCTGTTGCCTCTGATATTTGCCCATCCCTTTTCTATGGTACATACACTGAAAATTTTAATAGAAACTCTTGATTCAAGGAAAGAGCAGGTCTGAACCAAGTACCACTGTGGTGCCCACAGTGCCTGAAAGTGTGCCGAGCATCTTGTAAATGGGTGCTCAGTGAATATCTACTGAATGAGTGAATGAATAAAACAAGTAGTGCTCCTGAATATACTGGCTCTAATGACACGTTCATCTTACCAGCTTCGAAGGAAGAGGCTCCTTGGAGATGTGTCTTTCCAAGATCAGCATCCATTTTGCTTATACCTTAAATGTTAAGAGAAAACATGGGAGGGCATCTCTGATTATAAGGCAGTGCCCAGCCATCATCTCAATACACAGTTTGGAGAGTGTTGCTGTCCTATATGTGAGATCACCATGAACCATGTTTGAGAGGGCTTTTTCAAACCAAATTTGACACTGACAATGGACAAGCCAACAACATGGTACAAGCCAACGGGGCAGTTTTTGCTAGCAGGGCTAGCAAAGAAAACAAAAGTATGCAAGTATGCAACTCCAAATCAATGAATAATTCAGAAAGTGACATCAAACATATTCTTACAGATTCATGAATGTGGAAAGTCAACTTTTCAGGAGAAAAAAAAAAAGACTACTTTGAGAGAATATGACATTAAAAATTTGAATTCTTGCCAAAACCGGTGTGGCTCAGTGGAGAGAGCATCTGCCTGCAGACTGAAGGGTCCCAGGTTCGATTCCAGTCAAGGGCTTGTACCTTGGTTGCGGGCTCATCCCCATTTGGGGGTGTGCAGGAGGTAGCTCGTCGATGTCTCTCTCTCATCAATGTTTCTAGCTCTCTATCCCGCTCCCTTCTTCTCTGTAAAAAATCAATAAAATATATATTTTTTTAAAAATTTGAATTCTTGGCATTCACAACAAACATGAATAGACCTAGAATATATTATGCTAAGCGAAATAAGCCAGAAAGAGAAAGAGAAATACCACATGATTTCAGTTATATGTGGAATCTAAGAAATATAAAACAAATGAACAAGCAAAACCAAACAGAAACAGATCCACAAATAAAGAGACCAGGCTGATGGTTGCCATAGGAAAGGGGGGTAAGGGGAGTAAAAAATAAAAATAAATAAATAAGCCCCAAAAATGCAAGGTATGAAATGAACATGACAAAAATAGTTTCAACTTTAATTTAGTAGTTTAATTGAATTTAAACAGTTTTAACTCATTTTGTCTTAATGACTTGACAGCAATATAGTAATTGCAGATTCTTTTTTTTCTTTGTAAAGGAATACAAATCTCTAAAATAAGTTAACAGTTTTGATGTACATTTCAGTTATTGATAATAAGTCATATAAAAATTTGAAAACTAAATCTAGAATGAAGGCCAGCAGCGTCTCAGTACTTACCATTACCTGCCATTCTGTGATTCTGCTTAATTGCCTCACGTGATGGAAACTCATAAGTTTCTGGTATTTAGAAGGGCCAGAACAAGACGTTTCTTAATTCTTTGGCATTTACAACACTCCTCCATCTTGTCTGTGAGGACAAGATATTTTGCTGAATCGATCGATAAGGATTCTGGTTCCTGTCCATGACACTGGCTCCCTCAGCCATCCGCCAGGGCCTTCGAAGACACTGAGTGCTCTTCTTGGTGATGGATGGTGATGACCATTGATATTGCTGGAAGCTGTTTTTGTGTCAGAGACACTTCCCATGACAAATGCTGCTTACAGCGTCTGCTAGACAGTGTCTGATTTTTCTTGGAAGCTTTTTCCTTGCAGAACTGAAAAAATCTCAAGGGATGGATGTTACCATTTTATATTGACCCAGAAATGTGCTGTTAATTTCAAAGAGGTTTCAGGTATGGAGAACAGAGGGGATGACCAGGGGCCTAGTAGACTAACCAGCTCTGTTTAAGCACTTAACCTCTCATAAAATAGATACTTTGTGGACAGCCTATAAATAAAGTATATAAATCAGCAGCAGCCATACTAGTGCCCGGCATCATTCAGTGGCTCTGGATTGTTGCTGGTAGAAATGTCTACATAATTTTAACATCCAGATCAGCAAGAGCTTTGTATCAAGGGTAGTGATGCAGATGCTCAAGCAGACATATACCACCACTGAGAGCTGTGAGCTAGGCACCTTCGATGTGGAATTGCTCTTCTTTCCCTGTGTCTCATGGGAAACCCAGCAGCTAGAATTCAAGATATTGTGACATATTTTGACAATGTCCCGACTTGGTGTCAACTGGTGATGAGCCTACTGAGAGTCTGGAGGAAGAACTGCAGAATTAACCACTCAGGAGACAGGCCGGGGAGCAGGGCAGACTCCCTCTGGACATATTCCAGAGCACCTGAAATTTCCTGGAAGTCTTCTCTTTTAAATTGAAACTGCATTTCACATTTGCATTCAAGCCCATAATGTGTCCAAGTTAATGTTGAAATAATATTATTTTCAAATTTCCTCTCTCCGTTTCTCTTCCCCTTTCGAGCTCCCCCACCACATGCCACCACAAGCAAGGAACACACACATCTCTTTGTGACTGGCAGTGGGGCTGGAGATAGGGAATCTGAGATGCCTAATTTAACAAAAAAGCAAGTCATCCTAGGACAACTCAAGCTCTCTTTTCTTCTACAGAAGGCAGCCATCCGTGGAGCAATTTTGTTGTCTCACCTAAAACAGAAAATGTCCTGTGATTTGGACCCACCTGCTGGAAGATGCTCGATTCTGGGCTGTTTTGTTTGATTTTAGAATGAGGGGAGGGAGAAGATTTCTCAGAGCCTGTGCCCACAGACTGTACAGCATACATACTTATTATCACCGACTCTCCCATTGGTGGCGCTGAAGCTGTGCACATCCCTTACCGTGTTAGTCTGTTTCAGCCCCTGCATGTTCCGCTGGCCATTTTTGAACACCACTCTGAAAAGGCATGAGGCTTTGAGCTGTCTGCCTGTCTCTGGATGACCCTGGGCCATCGTCTCCGGAAGCTTACACAGGATCTCGGCGAGTCTGTGTTCAGCCAGGGGGAGGAACATTGTCTGGAAATGAAACCTTTTAGGTTTCAAACCAGCATGATTATTTGTCCACTCGTTACTTTGTTTCTACAACACGCTTGTATTGAACATTCTCCATATGCCCACCCTGATTCCTGGAGTGGGAGCACACAGAGATGGATAACGTATAGTCTCTGTTGTCTTGAAGGTCACACAAACCTGCTGTAAGAAAACCGTGGTTCAGCAGGAGGCCAAAAGGAGGTTGCCAGGGAGTCGTGGTTTGTACCGCTCACCTAGGAAATGAGTGGCATGCAGGCTGGGAGCTACCTCAGGTAGCCCAGAGTTGACTCCAATATTGGAAAGAATTTGAAGAACCATGGAGATTCAAAAGCACAGGACAAAGCACAGCATCATGGCAGAATGAGATGTCTCTCATTTCTGCCCTCCCTAACCCCCTCCCACATTAATAATAATAATTTGAAACCTGTCCAAAGAGCAAAGTACTTTGTGAGAGTTGTGGGGTCTGTCAACTATTCCAAGGGATCTGGGTAGAGTCTCTGCCACCTGGGCATCAGGTAATGTCATATAGACCTTGGTCCTGGCTGTGGGTCCTGTGGTGGCCCAGGCACCAGCTCCAGCCCCTCTCAGCCATGATCTGAAAAGCTGGAAAAACACTCTCAGCCAGTCACCAGTGGATTAGAGAGCCTTAGGAAAGACTGGATTTCCAGAGGAAAGCTCCAGCACATTGTGGGAAGAAAAATTAGAATTTGAATGCTTTGAAGTTGGCAATAAGAACAGTTTGACTCTGCCCACATCACCCCTCCCCATGAGAGCACAGCTTGGGCTCAAGAGACATCCCCTCACCCATGGTCCTGAAGGAGAAACAAGAGCATGTAAGTGAGCACAAAGCTTCCCCAGCTGTGCAGGGCATTACAAAGAGGCCCCTGTCTCTCTTGACCCACCCTGAGTACTACGAAGGGACCTGTATGACTTGGGGGTCAGGAAGAGGCTGAAAGAGTAGCAGATAGGATTCTCCATGGGTATTTAAAGGGATTCCACTAACTGCACTGAGGCCTCCATCAAGCAGCCTGGGGAACCATCTCTTTGCCTGCAGATCTCCCACCTGGCCCACGGGTACCTCCAACTGTTCCCTGTGCCTCCCCACTCCTCCCACCCCTGCTCTGGGGCCAGCTCCCTGTGTGCACTCCCTATGGCAGTGGAGAGTGTGAGCTTTGGCAGGCAGCTAGTGAGCACACACAGAAAGCTGGTCCACATATGGGGACATGAACCATAGTAGGTTTTGGTGGGAAAACTAAAGAGAGGCAGTCAGCACTTAGCCTCATGCATTGTAGGATGGAGGAAGAATACAAGCTTAAGAATTCTGCCACTAGAGGGAGCAAGAAGCATGGAGCATTTTTTCATTGAAAACAACAAATGGACAACATGTATATGAAAAGATGCTCAATATCACTAATCAGGGAGATCAAAACCATAATGAGCCCTAGCTGGTTTGGCTCAATGGATAGAGCGTCAGCCTACGGACTGAAGGGTCCCAGGTTCAATTCCAGTCAAGATCACATGCCCGGATTGCAGGCCCAATCCCCACTAGGGGGTATGCAGGAGGCAACCAAACAATGATTTTCTCTCAGCATTAATGTTTCTCTCCCTTCCTCTCTGAAATCAGTAAAAATATATCTTTAAAAAAAACACAATGAAATATCACCTCACACCTGTTAGAATGGCTATTAGCAAAAAGATAAGCAATAACAAGTGCTGACAAGGAAGTGGAGAAAAGAGATCCCTATACACTGTTGATGAAAGTGTAAATTGCTTCAGCTACACACAGAGAGTAAGGTAACCAGGAATGGATCTGTGGACAGAGAAGTTCATCATTCAAACTACAGGAGCCCTGGCAGCATGCATCCCTGAGAGAGTCCCCCCCCCCCCCCCCCCGCCATTCCCCTGCCACCTCCCTCCTCCCCCCCCTCTTGCTGGAGCGAAGGGCTCTGGTGGGAGTAGGCAGCTCTTTTTGGCTGGATGAATAAAAGAAGTTTTAAAGACATATAAATGAAACTCAAGAAAGCAAGATGCAGTTCTTCCTTGTACAGTGGTTTTCAGAAGTGAAAAGGGCATCCATGTGTCGGTACACAAGTCTGTTCTACAACTGGGTTGTGCCTTCTTATGTCTGAGGTCCATTTTGATCTGTACTTTCAAACCCACTGCCAAGTTCAGCATGAGAGCCCTCCCTTACCTTGCTTCTTCCAAGTACCTACTTCCAGCCACCACTATTCCTCACTGAGGCTCAAGATGTGGGAGTGGGGAGCAGGATACCTCCAGCCCTAAACCAATGCTCAAGAGCATCAATGTCAGAAGTTCTGGGAAAGATTGTTCCCATAGGTTGCTTACATATATTTTGTGTGAGTAACTGCAAACCCAGGAAGGACCTGGATTACATTAATAGGGACCTCCTCCCATTCTCCTGCAGTGACAGGGACCTGAGCTGGCATATTTGGGGCATCAGGTCCCTTTCCTGGGCCTGCCAATGAGACCTGAGTTCTGATTGGTTATGCCAATAATGCTAATGCAAGATCTTGACCTGGGAGTCAACATTTCACTCTTTGAGGTGGTGAGTGGAAGAGGAAGGTGGCATACTGCTTTCTCAGACCCCTGGTTCAAAGTAATAAGGTGTTCCTAAGACAACATGAAAATTCAAAACTCAGCCTGTGCCAGCTTCTTAGGCTGTTGGCTATGTTGTACCACTTTTACCAGCTGGTCAAGATCATGTCACTATAGTCAATATAGAAAAAAGATGAGTTTAACATTCATTGCAGTCAGCACTGTTATAAATAACTGCTCCCCTGAGTCCCTTCAACTGTGCTGTTAGACACAGCTGCCACTGGCTCAAAATGGAGCTTCATTTCTTAAAATCAATATGAGTAAGACAGGGAAATGGCACTTTTCAGCTTACTTCATTCTCAGAGAGAAACTGCTGATCTACTGGCTGAAGAGCTCAGATTCTTCCAGTGTTGATCTGACCCAAAAAAAATATTCTCTCAGAAACACCCAGAGTAGTTTTTGACTAACTAGCTGGGCACCCTGTGGCCCACTGAAGTTGACACATAAAATTGACCAACACACATGCCAACTTGGATGTGTGGAAGGTCACTGCCTGGAATGTTGTGGTGAGGATGTGAGAACTTGGGCAGGGATAATTTACTGATGTCTGTCTGGACTTGAGAGGAAGTGGGCCGGTGGGTGAAGGGTTTCCATCTTCGTTACACTTTTGTGATACGAAGTCATATAAAAGAAGGTATAAGAATGGGTGCTTTTGAGAAAGTGATAGCTTGTAGAAATAAAATTCTAAGAAAATTTTGAAAATTTAAAAAAGTTATATATGAAATTATCCATAATGATCCCCGAACTATAAAGCAAATAAGATTAACATTCATTCCCCTTATATTTGTTAGAGCTTGGTATAAAATAAGAAACCTTTATCAATTTGGAACAATGTTTTATTAAAATAGGATTGTTTTGTTTTGATGTATAATAATCTGGGTTTGAAAAGATATTTGATGTGTGATGTGTGTGTGTGTGTGTGTGTGTGTGTGTGTGTCCGGAATGGAATGCAGACATTGACTAGAGTTTCTGAAGTTGGCCGATTCACAGATTCTAAGTCCTGTGTGTATTTTGTTTTGTATTGTTTTGTCTGTTTGTTTTTAATAGACCAGGCATTTGGAAAGACCTGAAGACCATGGGCTCAGTGTCTCTCTTTATATTTTTCATCACACTGCTTGTTCTGGGTAGACAGGTAAGAAGTCTGGTTTTTTTTACACAATTTCTCTAAAGTATCATGTTAATATCACTTTGAGGATGTGCATTGTAGTTACCTTCATGCAAACATCTTATCACAGGAGAAACTGGGTGGCACAGGGTACCTGAGCATAGATACAGACAGAAGGAAAAAAGTTGCTACTTTTCACTAGTGGCAAACTTTGAAAATTACAAAGATGTGAATCAATTCATTTCCTTTAAGTCTCAAAATATATTTTATAGTTTTCCTGAGCCTAAAAAAGCTGACACTACTTGGAAAAAAACTACACTTGACTGGGTTTTCATTTGCTTTTCAAATGTGTAATATGCTTCCTTTTCTTTGAAGTGGGTATGAATACCTGTGCTGTCACTTGTAATCACTCCTAGAAATAGTCTTTTGTTCAAAATTTTGCTTTATGATGCAAATGAAACTGTGCTTTCTTCCTTGGGCCCTGTACCTCTTCCTGGCCTCCCAGTAGAGGCTGTGGGTGCAAGATTTTTGATGGAAATATCCTTCCTCTGCCTGAGCACAAGGACGTTCACCCAAAAAAATAGACTCATCTCATTCATCTCATGCCTGGCGGCTCAGCCTCAGCCAAAGTTTGAGTACTTTAATGGATAACGTGAAAACAAGTAGTGATTAACTTGGAAATAACCAACTAAGATGCAAAATCATTTACATTATGTACACATCCCTGAACTGTGAACCAATAGGAAGCTGTTAATGGCCAGGGCAGAGACCAGACTGCCAGCCCAGCATCCTGGAGACACGGGAGTCTCCCTCTCCCGGAGCAGTGCCAGTGGCAGCCTGCCCCAGGAGCTCACAGGGCAGCCCTCAGCACTCTCCCTGGAGCTGAGCTGTGGTCCTGCCACAGAGCCTCAGAGATCCCGGTCTGCCTGCTGCCTTTCCCCGCCTCTGTCCCTGGCGCCTGCTTGGTTCTGTTTAATTTGGCTTGCCTTTTTGACAACCGCACGTTTCTGTAAGCCTTGTTATTATACCATGTTGTTCTTTTTCTTGGTTTCATCTGTTTCTCCTGCTGCCTTATTGCCAGTGGAGGTCACAGTCACAGATACCGGAGGTTAGGACTTAGAACTGTCTTTTGAGGCATACCATTAAGTCCATGACAAGTGGTTTGGGATGAAAACATTTGTGTTCCTTTGGGGGCCTCTCCTCAGTTTCTAAGGTGCCTACACATCAAGGACAGGAATCTGCAGCAGAAAGCACTGGGAAGAGGAGATGTGAAGATTTGGCAAAATGTCACTTTTAGCCCAATGTAGCTGGTCCCAAATTCGGTTCCTTTTATTAAATAGCTTGCAAAATGCTCCCCTGTGATGCAGGAGCGATCACTCGGAAAACCTGAGCAGTCGCTTTGTTCAGTTTACAGAAACCTTTCAAACCTGCATGAATTGGGCTTGCTGCCTGCCCTGCTGGCTCCTTGGTCTCATCTCATGTTCCATTTCTGTCTCACCATTGATTGCTCTGTCATTTCATTCAAAACCAGCCACATCCCTGGATTATTCCCCAAAAGGCCCAAATGAATAATCTAATCTCTAAGTGAGAGGCCATTTCTAGTAAGTGCCCAGCATGATGCCATAAAGTAGAATGTGGGAAATTGGCATTAATGTAAAAAGTTAATATAAAGAAACTTAAAAATATTCTTTGCAATCTTTAAAAAAAAAAAAATGTCTAGCTATATGAGGTTAAAAAAAAATGCACGCCAGAGAAGGAGTAACTTTTTAGTGGATCAAACATAATTCAATCAGTTCTAATAGATGAATGATCATTTTTTGTTGGATTTGGGATGTGGATTTATTTTTCATTGTTTTTCTTCATAAGAGGTGTGTGTGTGTGTGTGTGTGTGTGTGTGTGTGTGTTGCTGTTGTTGTTGTTGTTTTTATTGTTTTACATCACTGGCATAATTAACCAAACCACAAAACAAACAAACCCCCTGCATCTAGTTCTTCTTTGCATTTGTTTGTCTATAAATTGTGCTCTGTGCTGAAATACACCCTCTGTTACTAGCCCCCTCTGCCATAGGAGGATCTACTCAAGTCTGGCACACAGCTGGCACAGAATGATGCCAAAACCAGTGAGACCCTTTGACAGTAAACAAGTCTCTCCCTTTCTACAATGTTCATAACTTAAAAAACAACATTAAGTTTTAATACATTATAAAGCATTTGCACATGTTTTTTATTACCAGGCACCATCTTAATTAAATGATACCAAAATGAACTTTTGTCTAAATATGTCACTCTCTCAGTACAACAAAACACCAAATAAAAAGTGCATATTTTTTAATGAATAGTTAATTATATAATTTGTTCTAGGGGGAAACAGATTTTTAAATATTATAGGCAAGTTGCCACAAATGAACACCATTATTTCTCAAATGCAAATCATCAAACAAAGCACTCTCTCTACTAATGTGTTTTCCATTTTTCATTTAGTCGTTATTTACATTCTATTATGCCTCTTCAAAAAAATAATTCAAGCCATCTTTTATTAACAAAACTAAGCAAGGAGCTTTCCTGTCTTTTTTCCTTGCAAGCCTCCAACATAACTGTTTCCTCTGTTCCTGAGGCTGGTTCTTTCCTGATTTTGCTTTTTTGCAAATCTGTGTTAGCGGTTGAGTGAGCGGCATTGGTGGGGAACAGTGGATTTTGCAGGGAAGATGACAATTCTGTTCAGGGGTTCTTTTTCGGTTTTGTTTTTCGTTCTTTTTATTTCTCTTTAAAACCTCCACTCTCTGGCAGGACAAGATGCCTATTGTTTCTTTACCTCTGTGTCCTCTTGTAACAGAATGAATATTACTGTAGGTTAGACTTCTTATGGAAGAACAAGTTCAATAAAGAGCGGGAGGAGATAGAAACCATGGAGAACCTGAACCGCGTGCTCCTGGAGAATGTGCTTCCTGCGCACGTGGCCGAGCACTTCCTGGCCAGGAGCCTGAAGAACGAGGTGAGCTGAGGTGGGACTGATGGCCAGGACTGGATGGTGGGCCAGGTGACGGCTGGGAGCAACAGGCAATCACCTAGATGCCTGTGGTCCTACAAACACCTAAGTGTTCAAGTCCAACATTCGAGAGGATATTGATTAGATGCATAGATGTCAGTCAAGAGGAGTGAGCTAGAATCACCTGTGAATGTCTTAGCACAGAACTGATTCATTGTTCCTCATTTCCCCCCCAATCATATAATGTTCTAAGGATACAATATGAGGCACTAGGGTTCCAAATGCGTATGTCACAGAAGTGGCCAGCACCCTCTCCCTGGCTCCAGAGGAGGCCTTGAGTACCGGCATGTACTAGACACCCAAGTCCAGAGGCAGAACCAAACCACACATCCCACACATCCACTCTTTCACTTCTCACAGCTTTCCTGGGAGCCTTTTAAGGGTTTTAGAATTTCAAAGATATGAGATAAAATTGGAAAGTTATCCATACAGGACCAGATCAAAGTCTTGAGACCATTAATTTAAATGGATGGAAATGGAAGTTTCACAGAAAATATAAAGGTGTGGATATTTAACTCACATTGGAAAGGTTGAAATTCAGTGTTGAAATGGCATGTGAAATAAAATGTGAATTTTTAAAATATTTCTGCATGACAAGAGCCAGCAGATATATCTCCAGTGTGACTTTATTAATTTAAGAAACATGTTTTTAAGCACTCACTATGTGCAAAGGTCTGGGTTGAGAACAGTGGAGTCTCAATGATGTGTGAGGTGCAGTCCTGTTCTTAGGAAATTTTTAATGAGGTTGGGAATAGATGAGGGATCAGGGAACCTACATAGATGGATGAACTCCTTAATAAATAAGCCCGATTGTGGTGGTGCTAGAGTACAAAGCAACCTTGAGAGAAAAGGCTGGAACAGTATTTTTCTGAAGTGCCAGGTGGTGGGGTGAGTTACTGTCACTGTCAGCTTCCTGGAAGTGTGCATGTGAGCCAGCCCAGGGTCCCACAGCAGGTATGACTGACCACAAACCATTCACTTCCCTATTTCTTCTCATGTTTTCTACATTCAGCAACCAAATTAAATATTGGTCATAGATGATGGTGTTACTACATCTATAAGAAGGAACCATCACTTTTCATTAACGATGTAAGAGCACTCATCCTGTCATGCAAGCAAGGAGTCGGTGCTGGTGATTTTCATGCTTATTCTTGTCATCATCATCATTCCTCAGAAAGTCACTCTGAAAGTCACAGGGAAATTTAGGATATAAACAATATATCCTTGCCTTCCTAGACATACCCCTTTTACTTAAGAGCAGGGAGGTCAATTGAATTTATAGATATGTGTTTTTTTATATGAATTTATTGATTTCAGAGAGAGGACGGGAGAGGGTGAGAGGGATAGAAATATCAGTGATGAGAATCATTAGTCAGGTGCTTCCTGCATGTCCCCTACTGGGGATTGATCCCACAACCTGGACATGTGCCCTGATTGGAAAACTGTGACCTGATTCATGGGTCAATACTCAACCACTGAGCCCCATAAGCCAGGCTACCCTGTGTTTATAAAAATTGGTATTTTTAACTAGAACAGGCTCCTAGGGGATTATCTGTTACCCTGACTCCTTAGGTTAGTCAGCATTACTGGAACCTAAGCTTGGTCATCACATATGCCACCAGCTGTCTTCCCAGGATATGAATGTTCACAAAAACAACTTTGCAGAAGGAGAAAGTACATGTCTGTACAATGAGCCAACTCAACCACATTCAGAGCAGAGTAGAAAAGGGAAACCTTGATTCTATCGTCCGTGTATTGTGTACAGAATTGTGAGGCAGTAACAAAAGGCATTACAAGGTGGTTGGCCCTGAGAACAGGAAGATTACATGAGTCTAACTTTTAAAGAGTAGTAGTTGAGACCTCAGTGGGGGAAGAACATTTTTCTGAGAGGCCACCTTGGAGCTATGGTGCTGTTGGAGTGTTCATTCTCTACCGGGGGATTCATCTGGTTACCCCTGAGGACAGAACTCACTGATAGCATATATGCAGAGGAATTTCCTCACCCTGCCAGGCACACCGGAAGCACCAGCTGCTAGCATTCTTTCCTTACTCAGATGATGGTCATCTTGTTTTTCTGAACTAGCCTCACATTCCCTGAAGTCAGGAACATTTCTCATGATGTGCTGCACCACTTAGGCACTTGGCCATCCAGCCCTTGTTGGGTTATCTGAGTGCCCTGATAAGCCAGCACAATGGGGAAGGCAGATCCTCATTCTAGGATTAGCCCACACACCCTCATAACAACCCTCCCTTTCGGAAACTTTCACTAAACTTGGGAGATTAACTATATGTTGGGAAAATTATGGAAACTCTTGAAATTGTGTTTATAAGACATTGTAATTTTATTCGAGTCCATGAGCCTCTTTCTATTTAAAAACAGATATCTGCATTAAATGTTGCTGGTGTCTAATGCAATATGAGGCATAGCCTGAGGAGTTTCACTGGTTCCTTCTGATCAACTAAGGAGTAACTTGATGAGTTTCATTTGCTCCTTTCAGGAGACCCTAAAAAGGAAAATGCATTGGGACCTCAATACAAAGAATGAAGCCGTAAGGAGTCGTTTAGGACAATGCAGTAGTTTGGAAAATCATTTTGTTTCCCTTCAGTTGCTTAAAAGAAACTTTTTCCTAAACCAAAAGTCTGTGGTCTCTTGTAAGAGAGAGACCTAAGGTAGAGATGGCAGAGAGCCTTAACTAGAAGGGTTCTTCATATTAGCTGGTTGTGTCAGCAGATTGAGGATTCTGAGCCTACATCCAGCTCATTAGAACCTTTCACCTGTGATCAGTGGCCAGTATCTGGAATGGGCCTGGCATTGGGTGGGACAATTGGTGTGGGGCACTGGATGACTTTTTTTTACCAACACTAGTGTAAAGAAACACTTGCATTAAAGCATGTGTTTGAAAGGTTTTCTGGTGCTGAGCTCTTTCTTTTCTCTGGCAGGAGTTATACCACCAGTCCTACGAATGTGTCTGTGTTATGTTTGCTTCCATTCCGGATTTCAAAGAATTCTACACAGAATCAGATGTCAACAAGGAGGGCTTGGAATGCCTACGGCTCCTGAATGAGATTATTGCTGACTTTGATGATGTAGGTACTTGAGAGTGACCCCTGAAGGACAAGGGTAGCCCTAGTCCCATCCTTGGGCAATCCCAAGGCCAGTACAGTACATCTGAAGTTGCTCATCATGGTATATCTTAAAACTTTTCCTTTGGTGTAATTTCTCATGGCTGGAGTTAAAGCCTATTGGTCTCTTTAGCTCCCTGAAAAAATTTGGAGTGACAAAAGTATTTTATCTGTGAGAAGGTATCATTGCTAGGAACAACTACCAAATCTGTTCAATAAAATACCTATCCAGTGTGCTCATGAATTTTTTCAAAAGGCTTGACTCCAAAGAAAATATTTGCCCATCAGTTTCATATAAAAGTATAATTAATCTGTTTATCACAAATTATTGGCCTGCCTGTGCATATTTAAAGATCTTTGTCAGAAATCAACTTGAACTGTGCATGGATGACATGTTTTGTTATTGAAAAAGCAATATGTACCTGGGATAATATATTTTAGGAGGGACAAAGTATATGTTTAGAATTTGAAATAGATGTCATTTTTCAATTTTCAATATTCTTCATACATAAAGAATAATGTGTTTTGTTTTCTGGTAAGAACAAACACAACTCTGGTTTTAAGAATGTTGCTGCTACATTATTCTGATAAATATTATGAAAAATATAGGAAAATTGACATTCATGAACATATTTATCATGATTCATGAAACTTTGAAATACAGTGATGACTTCAGGCCAACTTTCTAAATGTCTTGTGGGACATATACATTTCTCTACTGCCATCACCATCACTGTGAGGTTAACTCAAGACTCATGATAAAGTAATGATAACTAGAGATTTCCATTATATTGCCAGGTTCTTAGGGAAAAATGGTGGCATATTTCCTTCAGTTCACCTCAGCAAAATAAATGTTCCGCAGTACCAGGGGATGAGTGACAGTGGTTTTTTAGATTGGACTGTCTTTTAGATAAATGGTATGAGGATTGGCTCACTTATCTTAAATCCCCTGAGATGTAATCTTGAAGGAAACTTCTTTGAAAGCAGAAGTACCAAAGAAGGGTCAGGAAGATGTCTCAGACTTTGGTTGATCCCACTATCCTCCTAAGGAGATAAATGTCCCTCCAGAATTTCTTTCACTTGTTCCCTTATTTAAAGCCACTATCACATGTGTCATAATTAATATTGGTTCCTTCACTGGCAAATATTGAAATGTATCTCATATTAACTAGAAGTAAATCATTATACATTTCCTCCCAAGGACAAGCTCTTTGTGAAATTCATGAAATGTTATTTCCTAGCAAGACCCAACATTGAAGGATGAATAAGCAGTGGTTGAAACATCTCCTATTACTATTACTGTGAACTAGAATTTGAGGGTGTCTCGAAAACACTAGTCTTTGGGTCAGCACTTGACTGAATAACTTAAATGGTTGTCATTGCCTCACAGCTGCTGTCCAAGCCAAAATTCAGTGGAGTTGAAAAGATCAAGACCATCGGCAGCACATATATGGCAGCAACAGGTCTGAGCGCTGTGCCCAGCCAGGAGCATGCCCAGGTACAGACATGTCAGCCATACAAGGGCATATGTGAGCCTCGGCTCAACCCATAGGTCATCCATGGAGCCATAACGGTCATGCAATAACTATAAACTGTTCTGTGTGGACACATAAATATCAATAATTAAGGTCTTATGAGAAAAGATGAGAATTCTGGAGACTTCTGAGGATCTGTCCACTGAACTTTTTCTGGTGGACAGGGAGAGAAAAATCTACTAACCAATCCAGTAGTTGCTTGATACCAGATAAATACACAAAACCAGGATTAGAGCTGTTTACTTAAAGGTGACACATCACAGGATGATTGCTGATCTTTTGGTTAAAAACTTGGTCAAAAACCAAGCTGGCCATTAGAAATTTGATTTAAAAGCTGATTGGACAAAATTGAGTATCTTTAGTCATCTAGAATTTTTTTAGGGGGTTTTCAATTTTGTTGTGCTTTGTTTCTGTGTGTGTATATGTGTATATAGATATGTGTATGTAACTTTTGGGTTCCTAAACCAGACCTCCTTTCCCCATAGGACAGTGGGCTCCCTGACGGGCACCAGCACAGGTTTGCTGTGGGACAGAGGTGGTGGGTGCAACACAGACAATAAGACCTTACCAGAGCACAGCTTGCTGAAAATAGGTGCGGTCCTCCAAAAAGCTGAGCTGCATATGCTCAGCTTCCTCTCCCAGACCCACCTCCCATGGGTGGAGTGAGAGAGGGACAGAGGAGCAGCAATGTTAAAACAGCTCCCTTTTCCAGGAACACCAGTACAGGCTCCTCTTTTCCCTCTTCTCATTCACGGGCAGAGAATAGCGTGTGAAATGTACATTAGCGTTTTTCCAGGTGAACAAGTGGAAATAGTCTAACTTTCAAGTGAGACTGCTCATTATTACTATAATAGCTAAGCTTTCTGCACTTTGGTGTCCTTATATGTAAAATGATGATCATACCCACTTTAAAAGGCTTAGGAAGACTACATGAACATGCAAAACACTCAGTAGACTCATGAACAGAGTGGTAAGGTAAATGTTAATAGCAACAATAATACAGTTGTGGTTTGTGCACTGTTTCTCATGTTGATACCATTGTCTCCTCCAAGAGACCATATATAAGGAGCTTTGGACATAAATGAAATGTGGTGTGTCATCATGTCCATGCAGGGAGATGTTACTCAATATGAGTTACTTTTGTTTAGAGTGTTTAAGTAGAATCTTATAAGGTCATCCTACAAGTAATTTGAAGTTCAGCAAACGTCTCCTAAAAGGGGGAAATAATATGCTTGATAAATATTAATATGGATATTACTTATTTTCATAAGGAATGAAAGTCACTTTTGCATTTTGTAACACATCCACTTGTTTTTCTAATTATAAACAAAACATTCGACTTGATTTTTATAAATGAAACAACTTTCTGTTTGTTGTTTAGCCAAATATTTCATTTGGCAACAAATGACATTTAATTTGCAAAACAAATTGGTTTCTAGAGGATTAATGTGTTTTCCTTAAATCCCAAAAAAGGCAAAGTTATCTGGACAAAAGCCTTTTGAAATTCCTCTTTATTTGTGACACCTCTGCATTTTCTCCAGTGCTTAAGGTTTCAACCACTGTTTCTCCCCACCTTTGTTTGCCTTTGTTTTGCTGCCTTAGTTTATGTTTCTCAACAGAACGGGGGGGGGGGGGGGGGGGGGGGATGTGTTCTAGTTCTAAGCTTAAACACAGCATGACTAAAAGTTGGTTGCATAATGTATAACAAGGGACTGCTGTTTTCACTGGTCAAGAAATGGAATATTAACTTGAGAATGGGCCTGCATTCTAAGCCCACTCTCATAATTCCACAATGAACACTTGATCAGTAGATGTTCTGTGATAAAGTCAGCGGTGGGAAGCAGTGGGGACTCTGCCGCTGGTCTGCCCTTCGTTTTACTGTCTGGATCTCACTCTCTTCCAGTCCCCACACTGCAGCCTCTGCTTGACCCTTGCTATGACCTTTACACTTCACTTCAGGCAATGATAGCATACTTGTGCTTGCAGGTGTTTTCCTTGACTTAAAGACTTTTTCTTCTTTTTCCTTCTTCCTCTTCTTCTTCTTCTTTTTTTTTTTTTTTTTTTTTTTAGAAAAAGGACATTTCATTTAAAAATATCATTTCCAGCTTCTCCTGAAAATTGATAGATGAAACCATTAGTGTACTGAAAACCAGGCCAAGTCAGGCTAGAGTTGGAAGCTCCACTGGACCCTGTCTCAAGTGCGAACAGAGGTCCTTATAACCATGACAATGGGTCGGTGGTGAGCCATGTGCTCAGTACCTCCCTCATGAAAAATGTTTTAAAATGTTGGGGATAGAGATGCTTGCCAGTGCATCCTTAATGTGTATTTTAATAAAGCATGTTCTCTGTAGAGTGAGATCAGGTGGAGAACAGTGAAAATCCAATTTAATCCAAGTTGAGTGATTCTAGAGGGATCCATGATGGATTAACAATGGGCTGCATTGCACAAATGTTATGCAGCGCCTCTGAGTTTTGACAGACGCTAGGAAGGTGTGAGTCCTGTTCTCTGACAGGTGCCTGAATCTCCAGTGTTCAGAGCCACTGGGCGAGCTGATCTCTGTGCTGTGGTCATCAGCTCACCTGGGAGAGGGCTGATGTCCTTTGGAGTTCAGAGAGGTCTGGTCAGATCACCCCAGGAGCCCCAGGCACAGAACATGGTGCTCCTTAGACAGCAATTCTCAATCTTCAGAGTCAGACAAATGCCAATTTACTTTAAGCAGTTGTCCTTGCTTGGAGCAGCTTCCAAAACACACAGCTCACAAAATGTGTTCCACAAAAGCAAACGTGTTGTCTCACCATGTGCACTGTGTGCCTGGAAGGCATTGCAATAATCCAAGAGAGCTAACACATTGTTTAGATCATGGGAGGAAGGGCTGCTTCTCACTGCCATCAAAGCTTTATCAAAAGCTCAGGTATTTCAACATCTTGAAATGAACTGAGCTCTTCCAGAGACTGAGCATAATTTTGTCCAGGATTTACTAAGCTCAAATGAGTTATTGATGTTGGATTTAAACCCCACTCCCAGACACAGTCTCTTCATTTACTACTTAGAGCATGTCAAACCTCCAGGGTAAGGCCCACTGCAGGAAAACAGGCCGGGCGATAATTTATTGGTGAGTGGGGCTGTTTTGCTGGCCCTTGGTTAGGGAAAAAGCAAATCGGTCATCCTTGCTAGGATGGTGGCAATTTTTACCGCACAGGGTTCTGCCTGTTGGTTTAACAGTTTGTCCTTCATTAAGGATCAAGATATTTTCCAACTGCCTGCATAAACTTCCAAACTGTCTTCTTCTAAGTCCTGAGAAAAGGAACATTAGCAAGCCCTGATGGAAAACTGTTCTTAAGAAATGATTGTGTTTCCATCAAAGTTAGCTGGCAGTCTGCTTCGTAGCTCCAGTGTTTTAAATTGTTTGGTTTTTCTTCCTGGGTTTTAAGCTGTAGTTTTATGGCAACAGTAGGATTTCATTTGACTTTTTGTAGATATATGTAATTCACCAAAGGAAAGGAAGAAATCTTTCTAAACGAGAACACTCATATTTACTTTATTCTGTGCAGTGGTCTCAACTGGGAGCAATGTTGCCCGCCAGAGGACACTTGGTGATATCTAGAGACCCTTTTGGTTGTCACAACAGGAAAGGTGGAAGCTAGGGATGCTGCTCAACATCCTATAAGGACAATCCCCAGAACAGAGAACTATTCCTCCTGAATGTCAGCAGTGCCGGAAGCCAGAACAGGACTGGTTTCTCCTTGATTTGTAGATGGTTGTCTTCTCCCTGTGCCTTCACATGACCTTTTCTCTGTGTTTGGTTGTGTAAGAATCTTCTCTTTTTATAAGGAAACCTGTCCTACTGGGTCAGCATACTAATGACCTAATTTGACCATAATTACCTCTGAAGACCCTGTCTATAAATACCGATACATTATGAGCTACTAGAGGTTCATGGTTTCAACACATGAGTTTCGTGGGAGGAGGGGAGGTACATTTCAGTCCGTAACACCCATTGCCCCAAAAGGACAGAGGAGGGAGTGGTATTTGCAGACTCAGGGAGAACTGTAGCAGGTGTGGAGTTAGGAAGAGGAGGAATGAATCCTTTATCTCCCTCTGCTCACCCTCTGTTCTCCCTCTGGCCCTCCCCTAGGTCAGACCAACAGAAAACTAGGGGACAAGAAAGGGGCAGCATCCCTGTGTCAGAACCCAGCAGAGAAGGGGGATGAGTGAGTGTGAGGGTCAAATGGAGAACCAGAAGGCAGCCCCTCCCCAGAATTAAAACAGTGTGGGCCCTCCACGGTGTCTTAAGAGTGTTTCACGTTTCCTCATGGCCCCAAAAATGAATTTGCACACAGTGCTTCCTACGGGTGAGATTTAATTCTCACCAGTGTCTACAGAGCATTGCGGGGCCGTGATTTGTGTGTGTCCCTTTCTAAGTGGAGCCCCGATGTGTGACTGGAGGGAATACCCTCCAGCTTGGGAAGCCCTAACCCACCTACACATGTCTCCTTTCCCTCAGGAGCCCGACAGGCAGTACCTGCACATCGGCACCATGGTGGACTTCGCCTTGGCGCTGGTGTCCAAGCTGGAAGCCATCAACAAGCACTCCTTCAATGACTTCAAGCTGCGAGTGGGTATGTTGAGCAGGGACTGGGTTTCCGCTGTGGTGGAGCCATGACATAAAGACAAGTTCCCAGGAAATGTTGATAATCCCTGTGTTGAAGTAGGACCGGGACAAATGTGCTTTTAGAGCAGCAGGCCTGGATTGCAGCTGAAAGGGCTCAGGGAAGCTAAGAGCCCCCCTCAAGCACTTTGGCATAAATTATTAGACAACAACAACAACAAAAAACACCACCTTAGGTTGGACCCAGGTTTAACAACTGGACCATGAGGTGGATTACATGAGCTCCTCATGGTCCATTATTTTGTAGGCCTCTGTCTATAAAACTAGGATCCATCATCAGCGAGAAAATGCCTCTAGACCTCAGAGTTGTAAAAACATCTTTTTAATTTTCATTTTCATTTTTTAAGTGCATCTTAGAATTGTTGAATAAATAGCCACACACCTACAAGAATGCCAAACATGTGTCCTAGGTCCTGAAGTAGCTATATCTTTTCCAGTTGGATGTTCAAATTTAAGAGAAAAATCCAACTTTCTTTCAAATCAAATAAAAAATTCTAATAAGTTCTTTCCTTACTTGAAGCTGATTCTTTAGTATGTCTCATGATTATTTGCCTTTTACAAGTGTTTATTTTTTTTTAAGTGTGTTCAGCCCTGAGGGTAGCACAGCAGCCTGTGAGGTTGCCGCTACTTCCAGCCATCCAGGGTTTGTAAGAACTTCTTTGACCATTGTATGTTTTTCTTGGCAACGTATTTTATTCCTTCTGAAAGCAAGTCCACATAAGAGTAGATCTTTTAGCACATTCCATCTGAATGGCCTTTCACTTCTCTTGCATAAACTATTTTAAAAATCCTGATATTTAGAGTTATTTCTTCCTCTGCTCTGCATATATTCTTTTCAACCCAGAAATACTTCACATTTTTTGAGCAACTGGGACCCTCCGTTCTGTGTGTCCTATTAATTGTCAGAACCTGGGCACACTTCTTTTTATACTTTCTCACTTCCATGCCCAGTGGTCTTTACCCAGGCTCTGCCATATACAGAGGGAGAAGGGCTACCAATCATGCTGCTGACCACATCAAACTTCAGGTGTCTTTTGCACCCTGGAAATTCTTTATTGTTCTGCAACTTGGAAAATGGGCTCCTCAAACTTTCACACTACCCGCCTTTAAAAGAAAATCTGTCACCTTGCGGAATGACCCCTCTGTTGTCAGACATTTATGGACCAAGATCACATTGTCCGTCACTGGGAGGGGCAACAGGCACAATTGCCTGCTGGTCCCCTGTGCTACATCAAAGCACAGTGGATCAAGTCAATGTGTTCCAAATTACTGTGAGCAACTGAATGGACCTCCTTCAGCAGGTATTTATTAAGTGCCTACTTCACACTAATTATTGATTAACTAATGAAAGAATCACCCCACATGCCAGCGCTTTTGGGTTTCTCTTAGACTTTGGGTCTGCCTTTGCCCAAACCTTCAGCCTCTGCCTGGGTCAGCTTCCCTGCTCTACCTCTGTGCAGGGTGCCATCTAGTGGCAGGTCACAGTAGAAATTCGGAAGGGTAATATTACCCAACAGCCACAAAAAGTGATGAAACAAATAAGAGCCAAGCTTACTCATAATCCCCTTTTCTGAATGTTAAGCTACAGAATCAGTCATTTAATGGGGATCACAGATTGAGCATATACTTGCAGTTAAGTAGAGATCACCCATTGCTAGCAATAATCCACCCAGGCTCTCTCCCGTCCTCCCAACCTCCAGCCTTAGAGTTATGTGGGGTAATGTTTATTTAACAATGATGATTCAAGATGGTCCTGTAAGACTTTTGTGTTTAAGACAGTTGAGATAATGTGAATCTTAACCCAGTTCTGATGCATCACAGGTATGAACCATGGACCTGTAATAGCTGGTGTGATTGGAGCTCAGAAGCCACAGTATGATATCTGGGGCAACACCGTAAACGTGGCCAGTAGGATGGACAGCACTGGAGTCCTGGACAAAATACAGGTAGCTCAGCCTGCACAGTTATCATGGGTCATGTCTATCCTCTGGGGAACCATAAATAATATAAGAATAATTATACTACTTTGTTAAAACTAAGGAAAGAACCTTGAAGTTTACTTCAAACTTGACCCCCTCCCCACCCCACCCCCCCCAAATTTTTTGAAAAACCTTGAGAATCTTTGGAAAAAGCTTGACACTTACTTACATCTTTTTATTGGGGAAATGTTGATTTGTTTCTGCATTCGCTGTTGACAACAATAAAAAGCTGTGATCATGGCTGTTGTGAACGTAGTGATCACAACAGCCAGCACACAGTAGGACAGCCCTAGTGGGATGTGCAGGACTAGAGCCCTTTTCTCCTCTTCCTGCTCTCCACCAGCATCTTGAAAGGGTTTTGCGAGGGAGAGGGGCTGTGTGTAACCAAATCCAGACCTGATCAGCCTTTCTTTCCCTGGGTGCTGATGAGGGGAGGAAGAAAGAGGTCTCCAGGGTAGAGAGACGGAATCACAGGTGCTGTGATATAGTGGTGCTAAATTGGACTAGAATGGGATTTAGAGATCTAGAAATGACTGGAAAGCTCTGGAATCCACTCAAGGAAGAGAAAGGGAAGACCTAGCAGTGGTGAGTGTGTGCACCTGTTTGGGCACCAGGCCAGACACCTAGAATAGCGATTTTCAACTGACGTGCCATGGCAGGCACACTAGGGTGCTACAAGAATTTTTAAAACATGCAATACCTGACCTCCTTCCCCTTAGATTTTCAAATTTAAAAGTGGCAACAGCCAACACAACAGTAGCCATCTTGTGTGCAAGAATCAAAATGATACCTATTTTTTTTTGTCAGATTGGCAAAAAAATATATTTTTTTGTTTTGCCACAGAATTTTAGGAATTAGTTTATGTGTGCCATGAGATTAAAAAGGTTGAAAAATCATTGATCTAAAATAATCGGGGGACTAAGTTCTCCCAATGAGAAGGATGTTTGTGTGAGTGTGTGTGTGTGTGTGTGTGTGTGTGTGTGTGTGAGTGTGTGTGTATAAACGTGCGTGCGCGCATGCTAAATTTTCTATTTGCCTCTCCTTCAAATAGCAGTTCCACATTTCACCCCAACTCTGTTGTATTCAGCTAGATAAATCACTGCCCTGCCCCGATAGCAAATCTATGTGAAAACCACTGGACACAAATGAGAGGCTTTATGGTTTTTAGTCAGCTTTGTACCTCAATTTGGCCACAAAAAAACCTTGCTTCTTAAAATTGTGATAGAGATGTAGAAACTTAATAAATCTTGGTGGAAGTCCACCAGCTCAGAATCACTAAGAATGGGCTTGTCACTAACCCTCTGTCCTCGCACATGCCCACCATGCTTCTCCACCTCATTCATCCAAGACAATTTTACTGCTGTGGTCTTTTCTAAGGTGTATCTTTAATTTTTATATGAAATGGCACAAACATTACTTTTAAGTGTCTACCTTCTTAGTCAAAAGGTGTTGAAAAGTAAGCAAAATCCAACAAAGAGAAGGGAGAGAGAAGAGTGATGAGGGAAGAGAGGAAATATCTGGACTTCCCAGACAAATTGGCCAAATGGGGCTAGTCTGAAAGTGGGTAGGAGTGGCTCACACTTGACAGGAATGGTCTGCCACCTTGGCAGTCTAATCTAACAGTGCCCAGATGGCACCAGAGAGTATAAGGTTTCGGCATGTTCATCAGTAGCCACTTCCAGTGCCCAGGGAGATGCCAGCGTCCCGGACCGCTGAGGGTCCTCCTTTGAGGAAAGAGGCAATTTCCTACCCAGGATACACTCTCCCACCTGTAGGCTGACCTATGTCCCCACCTGGAACCTTCCGAAGGTGGATGGTAGATTTAATAACCTTCACAACTCTCCAAGTGGCCTTCAGGCACTTGGGATAAGTATCTAAAGCCATTTAAGAGAAGCTGGTCAGAGAGACTGCTCCCTCCTGGAGGTTGTAAATCCCCTGCAGGTCAGTGTTTAAATGAGTTTGTGCCCGTGTGTTTCTCTGAGAGGATATCAGGCCTCATAAAGCTGCATGTGATTTAGTGCATGGAGCCCCAGGGAGGGAGGAAGAAGGCTCTGGCTGTGAAGAGTGAGAGACACCCCACCCCCCTGCCTCACAGGCCCTTGTGTGTTCATTTCCCCAGCAGGTGGCCCGTTCCCATCTGGGTAGATGTCCTTCTGCTGAGGGTATGGCTCGCTCTAGCTCCAGTAGCCTCTTATTTCCACTTAAGTGCAAAGAAAAAAAAATATAGTGAGATGCCAGGAAACATAAAAATTGATGCAGAGACGATTAAATGCTTCTCTTGGGCCTCAGAAACAGTTTTTTTATTAAAGGGCATGAACTCCCACATGCTGTCTAGACTAGGAGCACAAACAGCATAGAGCCTGCTGGCCCCCAGCCAGGCTCCCAGGCATGGAGGAATCAGAGCTGGTGTCAGTCAGGTGGATGGCTCCCTCCTCCCAGGGTCCCTATAATTGTGTGACTGGTGCTACAAATGCCAACGAGATAGCTTGAGAATGCTGGTGGTGCTACCCAGCACCAGTAAATATGTCAACTCCAAAATTAAGCTCCCGGGCTCCAGATCATGGGTTTGTTCTCTGTGGAAGGTCGGAAGACAAATGCCTATGGGATTCTCTCAGCCTAATGGCCCCTGAGAACTCTGAGCATGGGAACATAATTGTCATCAGAGTTTCTTGACGGCGTACTTGCTCTTTGGTTCTTATCCGGAATCCAAAGTCTCTTCTATGCCACTGGCTTCATCCTCAAGCTACACCGGTCCTCCGGAGGACTTGGGCCCAGCAAGGCATGAGCATCTGCTTCCCCCTTTCCTTCCTGCTCTCTGTGGGGTCTTGAGGACCCACATGTTGGCCCATGAGCTAGAAACTGCCACGGGGTGTCATTGCAGGAAGACAGAACAGCACTGCTGGCTCCTTCCCACAGCGTGCCCTGGGGATCTTTCAGGGAACACTTCAGCCTTACTTCTGAAAGGCCTGATGCTGTCCTGGGTTTCCTGTTGGTTTTGATGAACTTCTGCCTCTGCCCCAAGACAGTGCCTGCTCCTGAGGTCTCCAGCCACCAAGCCCAAAGAGCCTGGCTTGGTGCTGCCACCACTGTCCCCACCACTGCACCATCCCTACAGTGTCCATGCTATGAACACAATGGTGTGATAGCATCGCTGTATTGCCCACAAGCCTACCCTTCACATGGATGTGTCACCACATGCGAGGTGGCGGGGGCACAGGTGTCATGTCCATTTCCCCTGATGAAATGGGAGGAAATCCCTCCTCCTCTGCTTTTATACATGGTTCCAAAGCTTCAGCAGCGTTACCCAGGCTTCCTGAGCAAACAGCTCCCTCCCTCTCTGCTCAAAGCCCAGGTTCCTTGTGAGGGGCCTGGTTAGGGAACCACGTACCCCACAGAGGGTCTTCCCTCACCCCAGAAGCTGAAATCTCCTTCTTGGCCAAGCTTATGCATGTCACCAATTCTCTGCTTGAGAAAATGTCTCTTGCACAAGGCTCTTAGGACACTCAAGCAGCCAAACCCAAGAGGACTGGGTCTCCTTCCCCAGATATGGGTCCCCCAAGGGAGCCCAGGCAGGCCTGAGCTGAGACATTGCACAGCTCAATGCAGGGCAGGGCATCTCCTCTGGGAGAGAGAAGCGGTCCTACTGAGCAGGTGCTCCTGCCCTCTGACCCAGCAGGACTTGAACATGACAGGTCACATGACAGGCTGCAAGGGAGGGGCTCACTCCATTTAGCATTTCATGTCACTCAGGGAACTGAGGAAACACCACACCTGACTCAGGGTTGTGCCCATGTTAAGGCCACTGCAAATTCCTAGTGTCTTATTTTCAGGCCAATTTATTCAGGTGCATTAAACCAGACACTCATGGCCATTTGCAGGAGTTGACTGTTCATCTTCTCAGGGTGTCTTCCTCCATTTTTATTAAAATCTACTTTTAACATTTATTTTTTTCCTGAAGTGACATTCATGACAACTTAAAAATGTCATCAAAATTCCCACCAGTCCAGCATGTTTTGATTTGCTTTATTTTTTTCTTTTTCTTTTTTTTTTTTTTCTTTCAGGTGTCTTATATATGCCTAGTTAATCCTCACCGGGTGGAAATTATAGCAAGTACCAGGCTTAACATTTTTGAGAGGGTGACATGGTTCAGCATTATCCCATCCCTTATCCATGATATTGATCATGGTTGTGTCATGGTTTACTTAACCCTGAAGATCACTGTTTCCCGTTTTTCACTATCACATCATTGAATTAAACCTCACCCTTATTTATTTTCTCATGGATTTGTCTCTCTTGTACTGATCTCTCAGGAGTGGAATTAATGGAGCAAAGAACACAAACATGTCTCGGCTCTTTATCCTTGTAGGCAAATGGCCTTTCAAAAGGGTTGTGTTGATATCCTGGCTAAACACCTTTTTACTTGTCGACCTGCTTGTAGGTCACGGAGGAGACGAGCGTCATCCTGCAGAGCCTGGGGTACACGTGCAATTGTCGAGGCATCATCAACGTGAAGGGGAAGGGGGACCTGAAGACGTACTTTGTGAACTCGGAAATGTCAAAGTTCCTTTCCCAGAACAATCTGATTTCCTGAAGAGCATCTTCGCTTTGGCCAGAAGACTGTGTTTTTAGGAAGGTACGATGCACTTTCTGACTGCAGCGTTTGTCCCTCGTGTTTGATCGAGTGCTCTGTTCTGTCCTCTGGAGCCTCTGCAGACTTGATCCTGTGACCTGGGGGCACACCATTTGGGGTGCCAAGATGGTTCTGCCACTCGCACTGTGCTTACTCCCGAAGGAAGAGGAAAAGGAGTGTGTGATGGAGAAGAGAAATGCATTCAAAGAACTAACATAGATGAAGGAGATGAAGCAAACAAAAATTCTTAAGGCAATAAAACTAGGGAGTGTATATTATCTTCTGGTGCATGTTCTTTTCTGGAAAATATGGTAGCTCGCCAATCGCATCCGCTAGTCTGATATTACAACACACAGTATTCGTGACTGAGTTGAGTCTGTCGCCCCCCATGGAATTTGACTGTGTTCACCCATGTGTCTCATTGCCAGGGGCTCTCGGTGGGTCCCGCGGGGATCCCTGGCTCCGTCACCTTGCTCTGTTGTGTCGTGCCAGAAGCACGTAGTCATCCATCACCAGAATTAGTTCTCACCACCTAGGACCAGTTTTGTACCAAACGTGTCTGATGTTTTGATGCCATTGTCTTTTGTAAGGTTAATTCATTAAATTTTATGTACTTTGGTTTATGGTGTCTTCTCTTCACCCTCTCCCCACCCCCCTTTCTTCTTTCTCTGGTTTGCTCCAGAATGGAGGTTTGTTTTCCATTTATCTCCCTGTTTCAGAAAACGCCCTCTGGAACCCAAGGATTGAGTCCTTCCTATCAGGACAAAGTCTGTAATGCAGATAATTGATTAGGTAGCTCCCTGGGGAGAAAGGAAGCATGCTGCATGTGTCCTGGGGTCTGCTTCTGATTTTGGCCTCTCTAGAAATCATTTTCATGGAAAATATTGTAACACAGTAGTAAGAAGATTCTCTACTGACAACAGCACCGCTCTGTCCTCACACTCTGGTCTACTCTACCTTTAGTAATCTACCAGACCCAGGATGCATATGAGTAACTTGCAACTGACATTGACTGCACAGACACGGCGGCCCTGCAGGGACCTGGACTCATAGTCAATGTGCTCATGGAAACTAACGACTGGCCCTCATCGCCAAAGGAGGTGGGGCTTCAGCTCAGCTTATCAATTGTCTGCCTCCATCAGGAATTTTTTTTCTTCTATAATTGCAACTCAGCCTTGGCCTTGACACAGCTAATTCTCCAAAAAGGGGACTGAAAGAAGAAAAAGCGTATAAGGCATGTCTCATCACTCTAACCAAAATCTGGATTAAAATGCCTTGGGTTTCAGTGACTTCCATCTGGCCTTGTGACGTACCTGTGACAATGATCAGCAGCTGCACCTGTGGGTCCTTCCTCCTGCAGAGTCCATGGCACCCATCTCAGGGCACTTCATGTCACCTGCCCTTAGCGGACTCCCGCAGCTGGTGGTCCACCAAACGCTCTTAAATGTGCTCCCCCCAGGTGCTGAGTTTGGTGAAAAGAACTCAAAGGAGAATTGCTTTTAACCAAGGTTGTATCACCAGGTCTTCTTAACAAACAACAGACTAAAACAATCAAAGTCATTATCAGAGTTTGCCTTTTTACTAAAGACAGCAACTTCCTTGCTTTGAAAAAACATTGACTAAGGGTGGGAATGTAATTATGTTTCTCTTTGATAAGATGACTAATGGGCATTTATGGATCGGTTTTAAGTTGCAAAACTTGACATGCCAAGAGATAGGCATTTATGTCCAACAAAAGTGAGATCTTTGAAACCTGGTCTGATTCAAGACCTGCTTTTTATTTTTTTTTTATTTTTTTTTTTAAATATATTTTATTGATTTTGTACAGAGAGGAAGGGAGAGAGAGAGTTAGAAACATCAATGAGAGAGAGTCATCGATCAGCTGCCTCTTGCACACCCCCTACTGGGGATCTGCCCGCAACCAAGGTACATGCCCTTGACCGGAATCAAACCCGGGTCCCTTCCGTCCCCAAGCCGATGCTCTATCCATTGAGCCAAACTGGTCCCGGCTCAAGACCTGCTTTTTAAAAATAGTAGAAAGTTAAGGGAGTAGAATCTGACTTAAATTAACTGAAAATGATTTAGCTTGCCACTGATTAGTGGCAGTTAGTTTCAGATGCAGGCATTTCATAGAGAAGTTTTGTCTTTCTTGGTAATCAAAACTGAAGAAAATGTAATTTTACAAATTTCCATAACTGTGGCTTTAGATATTTTCTATTATATTATTATAAATATGGTTTAATGCACCAAAGGGCATTCCAAATAAACTATTTGTTGGGGGAAAAATAAAAAGTAAAAAGGCACCTATAGTGAGGGAAAAATACATTTTCAAACAAATAAAGGAATATTTAGGAGTCACTCGACCTTGAAATTACCAGCAACTTAGTGTCATGTGTCCTTAGAGAATCAAAATCATAAAACCAGCAACAGAGGAATCAACAATGAAACACATTAGATCACCTTCCCATTGAATGCTCAGCTGTGGGAAATTTAATCATGATGGATGAGGGATGATTTCCTCCAAGGGATCCATTCATTAAAAATGCAGCACTGACTTAATACTTGAAAGAGTTCCAAGTTATCTGCAAAGCAAGCATTTCCAATGTAGCTGCTTCTTAAAAAAAAAAAAAAAAAAAAAAAAAAAAAAAAAAAAGGCTGTTCACAGGCACAGTCCTGGCCCCCGCGGTGCTTGTGTTCCGGCCACACTGCAGTGGCTCTGGACTCCTACACCCACACCTCAAGCTCAGGAGCCCCCACTTTGACGCTGAGCTGATGTGGGCTCAAAGGGGTGAGATCATTTCCCCAACTACACCATGCAGCTAGAAGATGCGAAGGCAGAATTGTACCTAAGTCTGATGAAGATTCAAGTCCAGTCTTTCCCTAGGACCTGGGACAGCTTCTCCCCAGAGGAGTGACCTGGGTATTGCCGGCTACTGAGGCCACCCATCCCTACTTTTGTCCTCCACTATGCAAAATTCTGTTATTCAGACCTCTGTGGGGGAAAGTGTTGTGGCATCTAGAGTACAATTGTGCCAAAAGGTTGTTTCATGATACCTCCTTGTGGAGAAAGGGAAAATGGAAGAATCAGGCAGTTAAGAAAAGTAACTGCGCATTGCTCCTGCGAGCGCCTCCTACAGGAAGACTTGTAAACACCGCGAACAAAGCTCAATCCAATCACTATCAAGTAAGAACCAAGCTTGCATTTTATTCAGGTGCTCCCAGGGGGTTAGTCCCCAGCACCACTTCATCTGAAATAATTTCACAGGAGAACTGTCATGCTGGAGAAATGTGTCCAAAGCCAGGATCCTTGAAGCTGGGGATCTCATTCTTCCTGTTGAAGTCGGCCTTCAGATGGTTGGCGCGGCCGTGCTCCAGGTTCAGAGGCTCCACTGGCTGGTGGACGCGCTTCCCGTAGACAGATGACATCAGCACCCCGACGGGCCTCTCCTGCTCCTGTCCAGGGCATCAGACATGCAGGTCAACGCATGCCCCTTCCCTCAGCCTCCGCACCCTCCCCTCAGCCTGGGATCTGGAAGCTGGTTCTTTTGCCTGAGTCACCTGCACACCTGCACCTCATCCCATCTCCACCTGGGCTTCCTGGAGGCTACTTCACACTGGCGCCAGGGGACCTCTTCACTATGTGGGCTCTGCCCCTCAGCTCACAGCTCTCAGGTGTCCTTGGGCCCCTCAGAGGAAAGGCAGAGAGCTCTTGCACTGGGTGCCAGGTACCTGTGACTGCAGATTCACTTTCTTCCTCCCTCCCCATCCTCCTCCCTGCCCTGCTCCTTCCTGCCCTTCTTTTTCTCTTTTCCCAACTTCTTTATCTCCCAGGGTGCACATCCCCCTAGGGACTCCTCCTCTTCCCAGCACCCCTCATCTCCACAGCCCCCTTCTAATCTCTCACCCCTCTCCCAGGGCCCCACACAGCACTTTCACTTTCCTCATCCTCTTAGAAGGCTCTGTGTCTCTGCCAGCCACTTATTACTGGCTGGATTCCGTTCATTATTTGTTTGGCTTTTGTTTTTCTGTCTCCTCGTGGGAATGTCAGGTCTAGGAGGCAGACACTGCTGTCTTACTCCCTGTGTGCTCAGGAGTACATGGGAGGTGCTCAGAATCTATGAGTGGATATATGAAATGCTAGGCATGTTCTCGTGGGAGGAAAGCATTGACTTCGCTACCAACTTGGAATGAAGCAACAAACAAAAACATGAGGAAACACATTAACGTTCGTGATCTACACAGTAATACCTCATACTACCTCCATCACTTAATGTCACATAAAATGATATGTTTCATTGAAAGTGACATGACAACATACTTAAACAATAACAGGGACAGGCAAATGTCTAATGATCTAGAACAGTGGTCAGCAAACTGCGGCAGTTTGCCACTCTGTTGACTAATGAGTTTGCCAACCACTGACCTGGACTCTCGATTCCAATAATTACAGGCTGTTGTTGTTCCTTGTGATTAAGCCCCTATCCCAGTGGTCAGCAAACTCATTAGTCAACAGAGCGGCTCACGAGCCACATGTGGCTCGAGAGCCGCAGTTTGCCAACCACTGATCTAGAAAAAAATCCCACTGAAGGTTTTTATGTCCTGATTTCTGTGTATCAGATAAAAGATTAAGATATTAACCAGGACCCAACTTGTCATAACCATACTGTCTTCAGGTCAGAATGTGTGGGCACAATGTCCGAGTGTGGGAGGGCAGGAGGAGGATTTAGCCCAGCGGGCAGATGGGCCCAGCCATGCTAAGGAGCACGCCACCTCCTCGCCCCTGTACTGCTGGGATCCCGGCCTCCTCACTCTGTGAGTGTTGTTTCCTCTGTTGGTCACGCACCTGTGAGCTGGCTGCAGGCAGAGCCTCCCTTCCTGAAAATCGTGGAGAGAGAATGGAGGAACTGTGCTCTGTGCAGTGGCCCGGTAATCAGCTTGGGAGCTAGATACATCCTTGCCTGTGTGGTTTCATCCCTGAAAGCCCAGTGTCCCTGGAAGGACTGTGACAGCCTAGACTCGGAGGTTAAGCAAAACCTTACTTTATCTGTTGAAAAGAACTTCTTATTTTGCTCCCATTTAAATTGTTAAATTCTGTAGAACAAAACAGCAGCCAATCAAAATTAATGCACAGCAACACGACAGACTAGAGTGAGCAATAACAGCAGCACACTCTTCGTAAACGAGAGGAGAGCAGCACAAAGGAAAGCCAGACACATACCGGACACAGTAATAAACAACTGTGCATGCACAGTCCATCTGTCAGAGCTTATTAATATTCTTAGTCTTACCTCCTGGTTAACATGAAGTCCCAGGCCCTTCGCATGTTCTCTGTCATCTCGGTGCAATTTCTGATTATATCCTGGGTCCCTCTTAAAAATACAGTCATACATGGAAGTGATTCCTGTCTGGGAGTAAAAGGAGAAAATTGCTGAGGGCTTATTCCCAGGCTGAGCCATTGAAGCGGCATGGCCTCTTCCGTTTAGTCCAGTGGTTGGCAAACTGTGGCTGGAGAGCCACATGCGGTTCGCGAGCCGCAGTTTGCCGCTCTGTTGATTGATGAGTTTGCCAACCACTGGTTTAGTCTAAGCGCATGATCATGTAAATTGGTGACTTGTCTCTCTGCTTAAAATTTTTTTTTATTTCACTTATTCATTCCTCATTCTTTCATGCAGGTGATATTTATAAAGCACCAACTATGAGACAGGTACTGTTTGGTGAGCTGAGGAAAGAAATAACTCCTGCCCTAGTAAGCTATTTTAGTGGGGAGGGGGGGATCAAATAACTAAGTAAAATATGTAATAGAATAGATGTTACTAGGTGTAAAGGTGGGAGGGTGATGCAGGGAGGGGAAGGACATATATGTGGGGGGTAGTCATGACTTCATTTGCTAGCACACATTTTGTTTGGAAGCCATGTGGGTGCAAGAGTCTGCAGGACACCAGAGGTAAACTTGCCTAGATTTTAACCGATAAATCAGCAACAGAACGGGAGCTTGCCTGTCCTCCACAGCCCCTAGGAGTGGCCAAGTGTACATGGTAGATGTACTTGGTGCCTAAGAGGGAAGAGGCTCAATACGGGGGGGATGTGGAGGAGCTCGAGAGCTCTTATTGCACACATCCTGTGTACTGAACACGGGCACAGGTCCTCCACACCCCCCTCTGCACCTCTGGCCAGTCAACACCCATTGTGATGTTTACAAAGTGCTTGGCTGCATCGGGGAAGGGAAATTGCAGTCATCAGGAGGGAAAAGAAATGGTTAGGCCCTGGCCTCTGTCCCCACCACACACCTAGAAGGAAAGTCAGCTAATCCTCCCAAAGCTAAGTTGGGGCTTTTTTTTTTTTTTTTTTTTTGAATGTTTTTATTGATGAGAGAGAGAGGCGGGGGGGGGGGGGGGGGGACATAGATGTGAGAGAGAAATATCTATCAACTACTTCCTGCATGCTCCCTACAGGGGTTTGAGCCTGCAACCCTGGCATATGCCCTCACCAGGAATTGAACCCAAATACTTTGGTGCAGGGGGCGACACTCAACCAACTAAGCCACACTGGCCAGGGCTAATCTGGGGCTTTCTAAGCAAAGCTTCACTCGACACAGAGCTATCCACAACTCACCTTAGCATGAGTGAGAGCATATTCTAAAACCAATCAGGATTTTTTGCTGTTGTAGCTTTTAGAATGAGAAATTTAACCAACCCCTTCATAAAAAGCCATTCTCCTTGGACTTAGCTTTTCCACTTCAGGAGCAGAAAAAAAAAAAAAAAAGGTAATTTAAAAGCACCATTGAACTGAATTTGATTTGCTGCCCCTGGAATAACATTTTCTAGGAAAACCCAGGCAGCCAGAGCCCACTAGGGAGCAGGCCTGGGGCTGATGGCATTGTAGTTGGCAGTTTGAGATGACAAATTTGTCTTAAGACCAGGGCATTACTGGGGCTTTGATACGTGTGCGGCATTGATGGAGCTTTACCTTTGGGCTCCCTGTGCCCAAGAGGATATTGGCCACCAGCTCTGCACAGATTACCTGCCTCACTGTGTTAATCTCAGACAGTGCATGAGTGGGGGAGATAAGACACCGGCCCCCAGAACCAACTCTCAGTGAAAGGAACTCTAATAATCACTGACAAAAGCAAACAATAGCTATCATAGCTCTATGCACAGTGGGCTTACTATATGCCACTGTATACCATTAATTGCATTCGTTCTCATAAGAATTCCAGGCACCGGGTACCATTTGATCTTTGTCTCACAGATGGGCAAAGTGAGAGAATTTGTTACTGGGGCAATGCACACAGCTTCACAAAGCCAGTGTTTCTACCCAGAACACCGTGGCCATGCTACTGACATCACCGAGCATGCTGCATGCTAATTGACGTAAGAGCTCATTCTGCCATGTTTTTACTTCGCTTTGAGAGGGGCATGGAATTATTTACAACAACTCTAGGGGGAGCTGAGTAACCCACAAACCTAGGACACAGTTCACCCTGCTTAGCCCAAGTGGTCTCCAGGTCAGTCAGAGTATCCGCTTCTGGAGCTCCGCAGCTGATGAAATGCCAGTCCAGATAATTCCCAGAGGATGTGATTTAGGTGTTAATGTTTCTGTTGTGTCACTTTCTTCATGTGACACTAACGGCCTCAGGACTTGAATTTGCTGTGCCCCAGCTGTCAAACTGCACTGAATGGTGTGTCCCAGTTTTGGTGCCTGAACTCTGAGATGACAGTGTTGGCAGGCTTGGTTCCTTCCAAGGCTGTGAGGGTGAACCTGTTCCATGCCTCTCTCCTTGGTTCCTAGAAGGCCCTTGTCTCCCCATCTGTTCACACCGTCTTCCCGCTATGCACCTTTTTATAAGGACACAAGCCATACTGAATGAGGCCCATCCTAATGATCTCACTTTGATTCGATTGATTGCCTGTCTGCAGATAAGGCCACATTCTGAGGTACTGGGGTTTGGGACTCAAGAATTTTAGGGAGACAATGCAACCCATAACAATTCCCTAAACTAGAAACTGTCGCTGCTGTTGGCAAGGCTAAGCTCTTAACAAGGCGAGTTCTCCTACCCTTCACCTGTGGCAGGTACTCCAGTGTGTGCTGTCTGATCCAAATGGCGGTTCATTTGTGCTCCATGGATTGTGGGTGAGAAGGAGCAGAAGGAGGAACATTTTGTGAAAACACCTTGTACAGCCTGAGGAAAAGCCGACCTTCCTCCCAGCCATCCGTTCACCCTCTGGGGCCACTCATCATCACTGAGTGTCCCCTGCAATCAATGTGCCTTTTGAATAATGATGCCCCTGCGCCCTGAGCTGCAAGACACTGGAGACTTTTAGGAAAACAGTTGATTCCCTGAAAGTTCTGATTTGCTTTCTTTTCTTTGGCTTCTCTTCCCCCTTTGGCTGCAAGCTGGCCACCTCCAACGATCCGCAGGCTAGTACCTAGCAGGTACCTGGTGATGCCCCGCCCCCCTGAGCTGAGCGGACCCGCCCCTGGAGTCCTACGTGGAAACGAGGCACCCCCTCCAGGCTGCACCCCGGCAGGGCGGCCAGGTCCCGTTCCCTCCGGTCCCGCCGGGATCTCCTCTCTCCCGGGGCGTCCCCAGGCGGCGCACCTGGCTCGGGCGGCTGAAGTAGCTGTGCTCCTTGGGGTCCCGGCGCCCCAGCGGGATGTAACCGATGTAAGACAGCGCCGACAGGGGCAGCGGCCGGGGCCTGTACCGCAGCGAGTCGGCGGTGATCTCCTCCTCCTCCTCCTCGTGGTCCTCCATGCCGCCCGCGTCCAGCTTCCCCGCGGTCACCGTGCTCCGCCCGCCGCTGGGAGCCCGGTCCCAGGTCCCCAGCCTCAGTCTGCCCTCACCGCGTCGGGCGTCGCCTAGCAACCGCAGCCGTGCAAAGCCTGGTTGGGCCGAGGGGCGGGGTCGACCCTGTCTCCTCCCCGGGCCCCGCCCCTTCGCCCAGGTGCTTTCTGGGTTGTGTGTCGGGTTGCGGAGCCACAGCTACTGCAGCGGCCCGCTGGGTCGGGGTCCTGGGTGAGAGATGCACATGCGGCAGCACTTCCCAACCTGCCGGCCTGTTCCCACGTGCAGGGTGGGCTCGTCCACTCAGAGACCGTTCGTTGGGCAGTTGATGACCTACTACGTGACAGCGCTTGGAGATGCAGCCTTGAACCCGTGTCCCCGCGGAGCGTACAGCCTGGTATAACAGAGGTAATAGAGGTGAAAAAGGCCAGGAACTTAACAAGCAGCTTGAAGCCTAGAGCAGAGACGCCCGACTTCCATGGAGTGAGACACACACAGTTTAAGTGAAAACTTTCTGTAACCACACCAAGAAGGTAAACACACGGTAAAATGAATTGTAAAATACTTTTTTTTTTTTTTAACTCAGTACGTTCACACCAGCGTTTCCACATGTGGTGCTAGCTATATTTCAGGCGCTTGGTAGCCACCTGATGCTTTGGCCAGGGCAGGTGTAAAGCTTCCATTAATTAAGTCAGGGTGAGCTAACAAAATCGGGCAAAACTCAGCTGCTAAGGGTGAGCTCTAGGGACCCTCTGTAAAGTCGGTTACGTTCTCTCTCTCTAAATGCTGGTTCAATCTCTAAATGCTGGTTCAATAGGTCTGTTCTCTTGGCTGAAAATTCATTGGCTGATGGTTAAGAGGGATGCATGTATAAACATACATATCTGTAACTAGCAGAGGAGAACTGCCTATTTGTGTATCCAGAGAATGCCAAGATCATCAGTAACTCGGGGTTATGAATGATGCTCTTGCAAGCCCAGACTGCCTGCACTGGAGTCCAAATTTCCCATCAGCACTGATTATCAGGGAGAATAATAGCATGAGCCTGGCTCCTGGAACAGGGGACCAATTGCCTGTCCTCCAAACCACCGTAACCAGACCGTGGGCATGGGCAGTGGCCCATGTCTGGGGTTAGACAAACTTTTACCTTATTCTATGCCTCCTTCCTGGTAAAAAGGCATGGATGTTGTCAGCTGATTTAGGAAGCTTTTTGGTCATCAGGTTTTTTGGTAGGCTGGCTCATGCACTTGATGAGAGTCTTTATGATTAGTCAATTTAAGCATCAAAGTTATGAATCAAGGCATGTAAATGTAATTTAATTTCGGTTCACCTTGTTGATTTGGAATAAAAATGAACCTGATTTTTTATATGATGCCTAAAATGAAAATTCCCCAATACTAACAACTTTAGCAATGAGCACCTTGTGGGCACCGGGGTTCCTTACAGGAGGCTGACCCAGGTCTGGAACAGGAAATGGGAAGATGAGCCTGGAACATCTTGTTCTGCCAAGAATTTTTTAAAATTTATGTGATGAACGGGCCCATCTGAAAGGTATCCCATTTAAGCATAAAAAAGAAAGGGGTACTGGATTGAAACACATCATGAGTTTATAAATATCCTAAGAAAATAAAATGGCCAGATCACCAACGTTTATTTCTTAAATTAATAAAGATAGGAAAGATGTATCTTTATTTCTGTGTAAACATTATATTAGAGTACACAAGTAGTTGTTAGGAGAAATTTTCTTCTTTGTAGATGAATACAAGGTAATAAAGAAGGAATGATAGAATTAGGAAATCATTTTTTAATTAGAAATAATAATGATTGTGGCAACAGTCATCATCAGATGCTAAAACCAGTAGGTGGAAGGCTGATGGGAACTATATAGTGGATGGACCATGCATGTAATACAGCACCCACTGATCAAACTTAGTGACTAGCACTAAGAGGGGACAACCAGATATTAGTGTATGATGCAAAGCAAATACACAGCACCACCTCCAAAGCATTCTTGTTGGGGGTTAAAGGAAGGAAGGAAGGGAGAGGAAAAGGGGAGAGGTGAGAGGGGAGAGGGAAAAGGGGAGAAGGGAGAGGGAGAAGGGAGAGGAACCTAAGAAAGGGAGAGGGGAGAGGGGAGAGAGAGAGAGGAATCTAAGAAAGCCTCTGGATCTACCTTTTAATTTAACAGGAATTATAGAAGCTAGAGGAACAAGTTATAGAACACCACCAACTCAAACTGTGGGACATTTTACAGGGCAACCGGTCCAATTTCTTCAGAAGGAAGAGGCAGGAAAACTAGGTGAGGGTAGGGTGCATTTACAGACAGAAAAGACTCAAGATATAAGTGGTATAACAGCTAAAAGTAATATGTGCATTTTGCTTGGATCCTGATTCAGACAAACCCACCGTTAAAAAATTACTTTTGAGACAGCATGGGGAACTTAGTACATAGACGAGTTATTTAGTTATTGAAAAATCTAAGCTATCTTATACTTTAGAGTTATTTAGGATAAAAGTATATGATAGCTTAGATTTTTCAACAAGCATTCCAACATAAAGAGGAAACAAAAAGGAAAAGAATTGAAAGATGATTAGAAAATTTCAGTAATTTTTCATGCCAAATAAAGGGACTCACATGGATTCATGACACTGTTGTTTCTCCTCTTACATGTGTGGGGGAGTTTTTCATAAAGTGACAGTAGTTATTAAGAGATATTGTTTCTTACAATAGAACCCAAAATATCAGTTCCAAGCCACAAATAATGTGCACTGTATGCTAGAAACTATGGGAGGGGTTAGAGATGGTTGTTTGTTTGTTCTGAGATGAGATTACAGTATACCGGCATTAAGGCAAACTTTCTTATGATGGAGCCCAACGGGTGAAGAATGCCAACAAAAAGTTAGGCGTTGCACTGTTGAGGCAAAATAGAGGGGTCAACAGAGAAACCAAGAGACATCTGACGAAGCACATGGGGAGACTGGTGGAATGAGGGGAAATTGAATGAACTAGGTTGAAGAAATGCACAGTAGAGCAAGATTTTATGTAAAAGGGTTAATGCTAGCCTGGCCTGAGAAGCCAACTTTGGATCCTGTGGGATGGTGTATCCCAAACCTTCTTCTATGAAGCTGTGCATCCGGTTGGAAATTGAGGCTGTTTCCCCGTGTGGCTCAGATCCTGTGTAGGCAATAGAGGGATGACCCTTTCATATTGATACTATTCCTTATTTTTACTTCAGTCTACCACACTTATTATCTTAAATATTTACACTGATCATTGAATTGCCCTCAGGTGCAATGAGTCTATGTTACTGTAATCTTATAGGTATTTGATAAAAAGGCTGGAAAGTTAGGCTCTAGGATTTCAAAAAGCAGGTTTCTCAGCATAATGTCCTTCATACTAATTAACAAAGCAATTGCCACAGGTTCATGTGGAAGCCCTAGAAGTTGTAACCAGCGAGTGAGTCATATTTCTCCTTATAGAGCATACCTGGCATACACACTCACCACCAGTTGTAATGATGTTTAGCTGAGAATGAAACACAACACGTGCACCAATAATAATGGCCCACTAGCCTTAACGAGCATTTACTGTTTCCCAGGTACTGGCTGAGGATTTACAAGGTGTGTCTCATTTCACTCTTCTACACTAAGTGTTTAGGCTCTGAACGGGTCTGGGTATGTTTCCAGCTTGGGGAAATCTCAGCCTTTTGAGGCTGATTCACTTCCTTTACCTCACAGACCCAATAGCCCATCCCTGCATTTGGACACAAAGTCTTCCAGTGCAGGTAGCTTTCTAGAGGGAACTGTTTTCTTATTTTCCAAGAAGTCTATTAAATATCCTGAATTCTGCTCCATCCTGTTCTTTTGTCCATTGAACAGATGTTTATTAACTCTCCATATGCACCTAGGCATAGAAAGACTTAGAAGGTATGATCCTAGTCAAGGAACTCCCACTCCAGCAGGCATCTCTTCATATCTTCATCTCTGCACACCATTGACCCTCTCTTGTCTAGGCCTGGTTCAGGTAAAAGTGTCTCTGCATCCTTGCACCCTTCCACAGCTCCTGCTTCCTCCCTCACCACCTCCCACTCTCTCCCTTTTCCTCTCCTTTACCCTCTCCCTCCCTCATCCCCCCTTCCCCCTTCCCCCTCCCTCCCTCCCTCTCTCTCTCTCTCTCTCTCTCTCTCTCTCTCTCTCTCTCTCTCTCTCACACACACACACACACACACACACACACACACACACACACACACAGAGTTCAAGTCCTTGCATTTGCTGCCCCCTAGTGGCAAGCCTGAAAAATAAATACCATTGTGCTTAGGGATACATATCCCTGCTTCAAGGGTTTTTGTTTGCAAGTAAAACAATTTTTTTCCCCCACAACTTTTCTTTCTCTGATTTACTTGTCTTTGCTTTTACTCTTGAATACTACTGCAAGGTTAAATAAACCTTGTTTGAAAGCATAATTTCATGAGCTACGAGATTGGATATGTAATTTTTTAAAATAAGTTTTTATTGCTTTGAGAGAAAGGAATGGAGGAGAGAGGGGGGAAAAAAATCAATCACCTGCCTCCTGCACACCCCCTAGTGAGGATCAAGTCCACAATTCGGGCATGTGCCCTGACTGGAATCAAACCAGCAACCTCTTGGTGCATGGGAAAACAACCAACTGAGCCACAGTGGCCAGAGCTGGATATGTATTTTCAACAAGCACAATCACATCACTTTTGCTGGGATAGGTGGACATTAAAATTCAACGACATGAGAATTCAGTTTATAAGGACTTGGCTTTATCATTTGACAGACCTTGATAAACTCAAGCCAATGGGAAAAATCAGAAATCTTATTAGCCTAAATTATTATTTTTTAAAATATATTTTTATTTATTTCCGAGAGGAAGGAAGAAGGAGAGATGGAAACATCAGTGATGAGAAAGAATCATTGATTGGCTGCCTCCTGCACACCCCACA